TCAAGTAAGACATCGTGTAGAAGGTAAATGAAATGTGGGTAATACCAACATATTAATGGTGATGATATTGAGTCTGCTGTTGATGTGCAAACCCTGAGCATAGCCTGTCAGCACCTGTGACCGATCAGACTTAAAGCTGTTTGTCAGCACTTACTGACGTTTCCTCCTTTCTAAATCCTTGCTTGTGTTGTTCTTACTCTCAGATTTGCGTCGCTTTGGAAAAAGCGTCTTAAAAAAAGGAAATAGTCAAACTGCTTAACCTGTTAAGGTATACTTGGATAAGAAGCATGCAATAGAAGGGTTTCAAGTTGATAAAGTATAAAGAAGTAAACCTACCAATAGAATCTTTGTGTGTTGATAGTTTAAGTTGTAAATTAAATACAGAATGACTAAAAACATTTTTTTTTTTTAAAAGAAGTAAAGAATTTATTTTCATTGAACAATCACACTGTTGGAGTTAAGAGGACACAGAGTGCTGCTGAGCTGAAGCACACAAACACCGTTTTCATTTCCCTTCCTCATGCTTTTTTATGAATCTGTTCAAGGTATGTCAGGCTCCAACACTCCTTTTGATTTACATTTAATGAATAAAAAAACGTCTTGATCTTCTGACTCATAACCAAATCACTGTGACGCAAACAGGTTGTTTTGTGGAGTATTCTTCCATGGCCTGCTGCTTGTTGAAGCTCCAATCTAGGCCCTCTACATGGAATGGGAGATAGGAGGTTTTCATCCTATCTGTTCGGACCGCAGATGGCTGTAGAGTTGGTTAATAAACTAAAAAGCAGGAAATCATGTAGTTCTACAGGCTAGCAAGTAGCCACTGAAGATGGGACATGACAGGATTAGACATTTTTGTGCATTATTGTTAAGAAGACAAAAGTATTTATAAAACAATGCTTGGACAGTACTTATTGCCTTTGGAAGTGAGCGTTTTGTCCCTCCATGTCACATGTGAAATGGTTACTCTGACCGGGCATTAAAGACTTGGAACATTTTTAATTTTGGTAAAACATTTTAGAACCATGACACCAACAAGTCCTTTAAAAATCCTCCAAAATATTCTTCAGCTTCTCCTAACTTCTCTAATATGACACAACTTAACTTAGTGAAAATGAAAGAGGTACAGTAGGCAAAATAGAGAAAAAGAAGGTTGTGAGATTTTGATAAAGATAGTGGGCATGTACCCTCAACATGGAACAGCTGCTGACCTGTCCAATAGTGTAATGTACACTCACTCACCCTGCGTCCCTACTGCATCACCAAAACAGCAAACTGACACAGGACAGGGGGAAAAAAACCACCACTTTTCCAGAGCCGCAGAATAAAACCAGCACACTTATCTGAAGAGGTCCTTGAAAAATCAAACTAGTATCTGTTTTGATTAAATTTTGAGAGAAATAACGAGACATTAATCTACAAAATCATCTCAAGTTAACACGTAGTGCTTTACTAAAGGGCAGTGTGATTCTGATGTTTGTATCAGTTTACAGCTTAGAGAAGTCAAGTCATACTTAAACAACACTACAGCTTTAAGAACTATAATGAAGAGGGATGGAAGTACAAGTTTTATTTTGAAAGAGTGTCATCTGAAAAACGGCTTCAATTTATCCATAATGTTGTTTATATGAGAGGATACACGAAGTATTTATTATGGGGTTTTTTTGTTCAAAGACGAACAACACGGACAAAAAGGTCCAATTAAACCAACTATTATCATCCCCATCTGCAGGCAGCCCGGCTCAGGCTGTGTAACTGTATGTTGTCAGAACATGGCATGGACACATCAGCGAGAGGGAAGGTCAGACCACATGTGGACTGTTAAATGGTCAGAACCACCCGTGGGTGTTAAATCCCCTTAGTGCACCTCAGAGGGTAAACAAGCTTCAAAGCACTCAAACATACACAAACAACCTGGAGCCTCTGCTCGAGGATCTGATGGTGCTGTGATGGTGTTAATGACAAGGTTTATGCATTTAATAAAGATGAGGTAGACCTGAACACTAGTCACACATTGTAGTGTTTGTCATTAGGTTGTATTTAAATCAACTAACCAGAGTTCATGGCAACAAGATTTTGTTGGATAGGAGTCGGTGCATGTCTTTAATCATCTTCTGTGTAATGCTCCATTTTAGTTTGTCTTTATTTTAACCTAATGCAGGCAACTTTATGAAAACCACGAGTACATTTAAAGTCAATTTATAGAAAAGTCAATTAAACTCAAAATCACAAAAAGATTCCCTGAATAATGTGGATATCTTACCTTTCAAAGGTGACAAAGTTCAGACATGGTAGCTTTGTTTTTTTAACCCATAATAATTCAAAATGCCAGCGGCAGCAGATGTTGTTGTTTCTTCTGATGAGTTAGTCATGTTGTTGATCCTCTCCTTCTTATTTAGAGCTTCTAACAGTTGTAATGTTTAATTTGCTAAAAGCTACATGACTAAATACCTGCTAAATGACATCCTATCAAACGATTTACATTACCCTAAGCTGTGCTAGCATGTTAGCATGCACAACAGATTAACTTAATCACTTGTTATACATCAGCATGATTGTTTTGTAATTATAAGTATGTAATGTGTGCTGCTGTAAGAATCCCATCAAACAGCTGCTGTTGGGGAATTTAACTTTTTTCATTGTTGTGCTTAAATTCATAAATGAAATGTCAACATGCCACAAACATTAAGATGTCCATTTGGTCACTCATTGGAGAATTAAAACATTGGATATAAACTTGTACAACTAAGGGCATTTTCACATTAGGCATAATTGTTTCGCTCCTTGCCCGAGCACGATTTCCGCCCCCCCAATATAATGGTAGGGGAAACAGTAATCTGATTACACTTGGGTATGAACACAGTTGGTTTGCCAAACAGCAGAAAGAGGAAGAAGTAACCATGGCAGTGAGTCCATCCTGCTAACTGTGGATGTTTTTGTTATTTTCTGAGACGTCAACGACCCTCTCTTTGTGCAGCTCAGAGGACGAAACAGGGCCCGTGATGGTTGAACATCTTATTGAAAGCTTAGATAACATACGATGCACAACAAGGCCTTGAAGACACAGTTATTTCCATTGAAGGACTTTCTTTAAGCACTGTACTTCACTTTCCATTAGCTGCTGCAGACGGAGAAGCAATACTGATTCTATCCTGCTTTTTCCTTCTCCAGCTATTAAGGACTACGAGACTGCAGGAAAACACAGCGAGAACGACCGTCAGGTATCAGAAGGCCTGGAGAGAGCTCAGCGACTTCTCAAACAGTCTCAGAAGAGGGATTATTACAAGATCCTCGGAGTGAAGAGGTGGGATTTGTTTTTTAATGTGTTTTGGGAAAAAACTCTAGAAGAATTGGGTTACTTTAGATGACACTTGAATTAATATAATATAAGCCTAATATATAAGCCTGCTGTATGTATTTATATGGACACTTAGCCAAGTCTTACTAGGTTCAATTAAAGAAAGGGAAGCTGCTTTAATCTTTAATTAATGTGCTGAAATTTTCTCCATTGTTGCAGGACTGCCCAGAAAAAGGAGATTATCAAAGCTTACAGAAAACTAGCACAGCAGTGGCATCCCGACAACTTCCAGGATCCAGAGGAAAAGAAGAAGGCGGAGAAGAAGTTCATCGACATCGTTCAGGCCAAAGAGGTCCTCACTGACCCAGGTGAGAAGTTATTATCCTAACAATGGCAGCCACACCAGTCCTTACTAGGCTAGTGTCAAAATCATTAATATACCATAATCAGTGACAATCAAGTATTTGATGTATGTTCTATACACACATTGTGACATGTTTCCAAATCTAACTGGTGTAGCCATTTTTTCGGCTTCTAATGTCACAGTGACCCTGCTCAGTATTTAGCATACATGCTGCCATTTGATGTATTGTAGCAGAGTTAGCTTACATTTTGGTTCTGTCAATAATGTTTTATTACTCGTCCACCAATTTTCCATAAATCCATTTTCTTCCGCTTATTGGAGTCGGGTCACACTTTTTTTTGCAGGCCCTTCCGAGCAAAGTTTTTAAAACTCCTCCAATATGTTCTCAGGCCAGATGGTATATGTAGTCCCCCTAGTTAGCTCTTGGTCTACCCAAGGGTCTCCTCCCAGTATAGCGTGCCCAGGCAACCTTCAAAGGCCTCCAGGAGGCAGCCGAACCCCCTCAACTGGCAACTTTCAATACAAAGGAGTCGCACCTTCTTTTGGGGGAGAAATTACGGCTCTTCTTTCCTGGCATTAACAAAACATGGATTTATTTTGTGGTATTTTTGATTATCTTTTCCATTATGGATATAAATGTAATATGTTGAAATGGCCTGTTCTGACATAATCTTTGATCTGTTCCTTTAGAGATGAGAACAAAGTTTGATCACGGGGAGGACCCCATGGATCCACAGAGCCAACAGGGTCACCATCATCATCAGCACTTCCATCAAGGCTTCCAGGGATTCAACCCGTTCGGATCTGGACCCTTCAACTTTAAATTTAATTTCAACTGAGGAATCCCGCACAGCTGGAGTTTTGGTATTTGCCTCCCTATTTAAGGGGAGATCACTGGTACGATGTCAGTGCATACCAATCATTCTCTCACAAACTGTGACTTTAATTCAGTGACCTTAATTCAAAATGAATCCGTTGTTAAATGATACAACTTTGAATTCCGTTTGTGGAAGATCTGTTGCTATGCTAACAATTATCCGCAGTGTGTGAAGCAGCTTTTATCCTTCTCCTGTCATTTCTAATTCACATCCATTCGTTTCAATTTGTTCATAGGTACAGTACTATTTTTATATGAATGGAATTTTTCTGAACTGTAAATAAAGATGTATTTATGTACATGAAATTAAAGTGAGGAGGAGTTGCTGCTGTGTGGATGAGTTTGTCTTTAACACCATATTTCATCTGACACGTTCCCTAGTTGTACACACCTTTGCAGATTTTTCCTGTTCATTGTAAGAATCTCACATTCCTGAACACACCAGGAGACGACAGCCTCTGTAAAGGTTTAATAGCAAAGATTTATTTTTCTACCAGACAGTGATATAAATATGTCTTTAACACATCACAGTGAACGACAGGTGATCTGAGAGCAGACCCCCTTCACTCGTTTGTTGACTTAAGACAAAAAAATGACAGTTGGCTTCAGTTAAGCAGCATCGTCCATATTATTCCTGAGACAAACACTGGTACGTTATCAAATTGAAATGTTGAAAAATAATCCTTAAATTAAATTCATGGTGGCTGAATATGCACAAGTAATGTAAACATGGAGTCATAATTTAAAATCAAATACTTTACCCTTAAACTATGACCTTTGTGTGCAAATGGGATGGACAACTAATTCACTTACGCCAACTGCCCCAAATACTACCATGCGTGTCAAGATTTTTAGCAATGAAAATTGTAACATTAAGTCAGATTTATCGCTCAAATTTTCAGTTAAAAAAACAAACAACCAAACTGGATTCTCGATTTTGTCAGTCAGAAATCAATTTAGTCTATTTACTCTGTAAAATGATCTTATGTACCTTCATCCATACTATAACACTATAATACTCATACTAAAGCTCGATAGCTACACGTCCAAGCAGAAGGTCAGTCCTGCTGATGATTCATGCTGCACTTTGACAGACAGCAGCAGTGTTGATGTAACACTGCTCCCCCTGTTGACCACTCAGTGCCCTTTAAAGCTTTGCTGATTTAGTCCATGTGTAAGAGGTGTTTTTTTAAGTGAATCTTTGAAGTAGAAAATGTAAAGAATAAAAAAACAAGCCGGTTTGTGCTGCATGCTGCGACTCTGCCTGACACCTACCCAGCAGGGGTTTCAGACATTCCAAATAACTCTATAGAAATAATCAATTGTCTATCTGATGGTCGGGATTGCTTTTGCAGTCCATAAAGAGGTATCAACATTAATTTCAGTCTGTTTCACAACCACCAACAAAGTCCTAACAAGAGCTTTAAATAGTTCAAGATGACAACTACAGAGAAGGCACAGTAAGCATGCAAAGTGAGTTAAGGTACTATTAGACTGCTGCTTTGGGGCTGGAGGAGGATGAAGCAAACAGTAAATTACATTTTCTAAATCTTGTTCCAAGGACACTCCTGTTTAAAGGGGCAAGTAGGGAAGTTATTGGTTTGTGGTAGCAGGCTGAATTTATCTATGTTTTTTTTAAATGACAGGACCCTCAGTATGCGTAACTTTTTGTGTCATTGGACATTCCTCATCAACAGGGAAAACATGCAAGACCTCAAACAAACACTTTGGGGGAAAAAAGAAGAAGGAAAACACAACTACTACGGCTTCCTTATCCTGATTCAAAAGCTGAGAGATAAGAACTGGAGCTGTTGATAGGCATTGGGTCACTGAAAGGCTTTACCACTACAAAATCTTCATCTCATATACAGTATATTACAAAAAGATCTAACTCCTTTCTGATGGTGTTGTGTGTTCAAATATGTCCAACTGTATTTCATAATTCAAATCAAATAAGCAATATGAATCCAATAAAGAAACAAACCAGCTGTGTTCTGGGGCAGCAGATGGAGACGTAAGAGATATTTTTCCCTGCTGCAAAAAAGGGTATGTTCAGATGAGGTTTTAGTCTAAATATTAGAACCCCTCCAAACTGAGACAAAAATGATGGAAAATAAAAATGAAAACCTTCTCTTCCTAATGTCAGACCGACTCCCCTGTAGATGAGGAAAAAATGCAAATCATGTGACGACTTCACAGCTAGTCTGAACATTAAAAACATTAATTTTAAAGTCAGTAATTACTTTGGTTTGGGTTTTTTTTCAGTCAATGCATAGTCTAAGTCTTCATATCAGCCATATCAAATTAAAAAATACCAAAAATGATTTGCTTTTGAAATATTTTTACACTAAAAAACAAAAAAAACCATCACAATGTGAGATTGGACTCTTAGAGATGTGCCTTCTCTAACTGATTCTTTGCAGACATTATCAGTGCAAAATATGGCAGGCTACTTCTTCCAAAACACACACACACATACACCTAACAAACTGCTTTAAATTATGTTTTCCCTCCTTTGACTCTCTCTGTTTGCTTCATTCTCTGGGTAACTGGGAGCAGCCTGTAGTGTGGAAAGCCAGTTCACAGTTGGCAGGTAACACTTAGATCACGTGTTAATTTGTAAGACGTGTTGACTGCAGAAGCAGGTATGGCATCTCTGAAAATATCTCCTCCTTCTGTGGCTGGGGAGATGCACAACAACAACAACACTGTGTGGCTATGTTTAGATGGAATTGTCTGTCTTGGAGCTTCGCAGGTGGCCTGCATGCAGAAGGAGCTGCCTCGTCTGTGTTCAGCGAGTGCTGGCAGACGTTAAAGTTCATCTCGCTGGTTTTCTAGAGGGGGCAGTTGGGGTTGTTGGAAAGAGAAAAATGAAAATGAGCTTGGTGGTCAAAAAAGGTGATCATACAGGAGGAGAATAAAAACGGCATGGACACACCTTTTTGAGTTTGTGAAGGAGAGCGAGTCTGTTGGTGCGTTTCTGCGTCTTCCTGCTCCTGGACTCGTCTCAGCAGCTGTTTTATCTCATTGTCATATTCAACCCATTCAGGCACTATCCTCGCTGCAGCTGTTAGCTTGGGCTCCTTGGTCTTTGGGTTATTGCACTGCAGCAGAAAAAAAAGCAGACAAAACACATCAGTCACGCCACCAGCGCCACTTTCTCCCAACAAGTCTTAATGCCATTCCCAGCACTGTCTGTGGCAGCCATTTGAACCTAATTTGATTTCCAATTCTGTTAAAAGGACATTACCCCGTGTCTTGTATCTGAATTACCAAGTGGGTGTCCTAAACCGCAATGAGACAATGCTTCCTATCCCAGTCTGCTGGAGCCACGCCAGTAATTCTCTAAATTAGTTTAGGAGACTACACGATAGCTCCTCAGTCGTCTCCTAAATGCCAAGCAGCTTATAGACATTAGTGTCCTGGAATATTCAGCTTTTCTGTGCTGCAGCAGCTACAGCTCACTGTTAGAACAAAAACATCTGAAAACATGATGTTGTCATCATCCGTGTCTTCCACACATGAAAAAAGTGTTATTGTTGTTAAGACTGAAGGGACTTACTGACAGGAATAATTCATGATTCAATATTAAGCAATTCCCACTATGCTAGTTAGCTTTTCCTCACATTCCTGATCAGTATCATTGCTCTAGAACTTACAAGGTCTATAGTCTTAGCTGTGACTTTGGAAGTGTCATCACACCATGTCTCACACCAAAGCCACTCCTGTGGGAGGGACTTGATGGCCACCTGGTGGATCATATTGTTTGGAAGGTCCTAGAAGAATAAAACAAAACATGAATTTATTTGGAATTTAAATACATGAAAAATGAAACTTTAAGAACAAACTCTTTTCCTAAAGTCTCACACCTGGTCCAGGTTGGACAGACTGTTGGGGTCTTGGCTCAAGGCTTGGTACTGGCCTCTTAATCGGTCCCCGGCTGCAATCTTCCGAAACTTCTTCAAGTCTACGACGTACAGTGCACTGAAGAGAGGGAAGGAAGAGAAAGCAGGTGTGAGTAAACCATTCCCTGCACTGGAGAGCCCATAGGAATGACTTAATATAACTAAAATAACGACACAATAAAAGATAATTACCCTCCAGGCCCGTTCAGATAATTGCACCTAACATGCCATATTACTAAACAAAACACTGTAGACTTTGTAGTTCCACTTATTAGATTTTGTTCTGCCAGAGGATATTCACCACATAATGTTTATCTGGACTCCCTGATGACGATCATTCACCCTCACTGCCTTTGTCCTGCCACAGCTAAGCAGCACACTGGCATCCATTCAAATCACTGTGGTTTCAGACTTTTTCTTTTTTTTTTCAGTTTTCATCAGCCAGAAGTAAAGTGGAAAGTTTCTGCCCGCGCTATTCAGCCACTGGCCGGCCGATTAGCTCTGACACTGACTGAGGGGGAACTCGGTGTCAGAGGCCTGGCACAGAGCGGAACTTTTTATTTCTAATCTAGTGATTTATGTAAGACACACACCGTGGCTGCATCCGAGAATCAGATGCTCAAATATCCACAGAATGTTTTACTATAATTGGTGGGGTATGGTCACCATGGAAACTAGATGAACACAATACCTTTGGGTAGTGATGCCACAATTGTCTTTAATTTTTAAATTCCTTTTCCTTCCGTTTTTTTTGATTCAAAATAGTCTGAAAAGATGCGGCAGAATTTAATGCGATTTGATTTTAGCTTGCACAGAGGGATCTTATTTTACTTTGCTGACAAATCAAAATATATGAAGTGTTCTTTACAGAGCCAACAACTGGCATGTGACTTCATCTGTACTGGCTGATTAAAGTGAGATTTTACAACTCCTTGAAAGTACAACTTTGTCTGGTTCCTGAAGTTTTTTAAGTTTCAAAAAGATGGAGGAACAAAACAAATCCAGCACTTCAACTCTCTAAAAACACAAAAACAAAAAAACAGTTCCTCTTCTTTTGTTATTTTTAGTTCTTCTCCCAAATATGACACACTCTTGCAGGATAATGAATAATTCCTCAAGATGATTCACTGAATCCAAGCCACAATGAAGTGAAAGATGGATTTTCATGATTGTGATACGCGAGGCGTTGCAGAATATTCTGGCTTTTTTTTGGGAGGGGGCGAGGGGGGTTTGTTTTTATCTTTATTAGACAGGACAGCTGAGGAGAAACAGGAAATGTGGGGAGAGAGAGCGGGGGGTGACATGCACCAAGCTGTCAGGTTGGGGAGTCAAACCTGTGACCAGTGCTATGAGGACTGTAGCCTCTGTACATAGAGCGTCTGCTATACCAAGTGAGCTAAGCCAGCACCTTGTGGATGGTAATATCTAAATTCTTTGATTTATTATGCTGCCTTCCCATAATGTATTATATCAGAGATCGTTTAAAGCATTCAATGCAGTTTTCTAAAAGAAGCAGACCTGATATGGTATTTCCTGTGTCCCAGATGTGAGGCCCAGTAGCCAGATTTCCAGAAGCGATAGCCTTCCATCTCCCTGCGGCTATCACAAAACGGTGTGTAGCCATACGGAGCCCCCTCCAGGTCTAAATCCCTCAACTCCTTCAGATCAGCCCGAACGATCTGTGAGGAAGATACATTTGTAAGTATGAAGACCAACGACACATTTTCACACCAGTACGGGGCAGTGGTAGTAGTCGTCGTCAAGACACTTAACCCAAAGTTGTTCCTGCTGCTTCATCAACACCATGTCAATGTGTATAAATGGGATTAGCTAATACTGATGGACATTTTACATAACATCCTTTACCATCAGTGTGTGAATGTGTAGGTGTGACCTGCGGTGTAAAAGCACTTGACTAGAGAAAAGACTAGAAAAGTGCTACATACAAGCTCGAGTCCATTTACCATCTACAGACAACACTCTCACGAACAGTTGCAAACTTACACAAAGCTCTCGGTTCAATTTGATCCTCACCTGGTCAGCGTCGACAAAGATGATCTTGTCCACAGCCAAAGGGAATAGAACATCGAGGAAGAGGATCTTGTATCCCCAGATAATCCGCTGCTTCTCAGTCTGCTGGTGGAGCCAGCGAGGCCACTTGTATTGAACCAACTCGTACTGAAAGCTGTACTTCTCCGCCATGTCAGAGATGGTCTCCTAAACACAACAAACACAAACACCAGCATTTTAATAAACAAAGTAAAAGAGCCCATTTTGGAAAACATTTTAGATATGTGCTCAATTATGTTTACAATATAAATATATATATATATAATATATAAATATAATTCAAATCAATGGATACAGATTGTGAACATTACACTTGGATATGTACACTGGTGCTAAGTAGTCATGCACAAGTTTCCATTATAGACAATTATAATTAGAATATAAAAGAACAAAAGCAATAACAATTCAAAATGTTCAGAGGGTATATCAGGAAGACATTGAACATAGAGCAACACTTTACATGTGACTTTATCAATCATAGAAGAAAACAGATAATGTTGATAAGTTTGTGAGGCCTAGCTAAAGGCCAAATATGATAATGGATGTGTTACAAGCATAAAAGGCAGAGAAGATAGATAGATAGATAGATAGACACGCAGACAGACAGACAGTCAGGCAGGCAGACAGACAGACACACACACACAGACACAGACACAGACACAGACACAGACACAGACACACAGACAGACAGACAGACAGACATAGACACAGACACAGACACACAGACAGACAGACAGACATAGACACAGACACAGACACAGACAGACACAGACAGACACACAGACAGACAGACACAGACACAGACACAGACACAGACACACAGACAGACAGACACAGACACAGACACAGACACACAGACAGACAGACACAGACACAGACACAGACACAGACACAGACACAGACACACAGACAGACACAGACACAGACACAGACACACAGACAGACAGACAGACACAGACACAGACACACAGACAGACAGACAGACACAGACACAGACACAGACACACAGACAGACACAGACACAGACACACAGACAGACAGACAGACACAGACACAGACACAGACACAGACACAGACACAGACACAGACACAGACAGACAGTCAGACAGACAGACACACAGACAGACACACACAGACAGACACACACACACACACACACACACACACACACACAGACACACAGACAGACACACAGACAGACACAGACAGACACAGACAGACACACAGACAGACACAGACAGACAGACACACAGACAGACACACAGACAGACAGATACCTTATTGATCCTGCAGGAAGAGTTGTTGTGAATAGCGATGCATTAGGATAACTGAAAAGCTTGTAAGCCAATATTGATGCAAGAGTGAAGGGAAAGTGGTATTATATAAAGTGCAAGACAGCTGGACATACTAAATAAACAACATTTCAGATTTCAGCTCGCTTCCAGGCATGTCAGCTATTTTTCAACTAGACTTATAGAAAATCAAGGAGAGGAAAAACCCAAAAACTTAGAATAAAAAAACCTCAGAAGAGCTTGGATGAAGTTATTCTGAACAAGTCGAAAAACAAAGCTGTTATATTCATGGAGGGAGTGGTGAGGTGAGGGGGGTACCTTGAAGGATGGGGAGAGGTAATTCTTGAGGAACCAGAACTTTACAGGTGTCTTGGTGTGCCGAAGGACCGACAGCATCATTATTCTGACAAAAGACAGAAAGTGTGAAGGAGCAGTTTGAGGACCAGGGCTGAAAGAAATGTGATGTGAAGAGGTGAGCTGGTGAACTGAAAGTGACCCACCTCAGAAAACGCTCATACAGATGGCCCGAGGCCACAGAAAATATGTTGAGAATATCCTCTTTCTTCTTCTCTCCGTCATTTTTCTTTGAGCTTCCACCCGTAATGCTGTAAATGACACACACATACATGAGCCTTGTCTGTTTTGATTTGTGTATGGTAACAGTCTACAGGACACATTTTGGATGATTTTTTGTAGAAGAACATGAAACAGTCAAATCAGCCAGCAGAAAATCGTTTCAAACAAACCATGCATACTGTGTTTTTAAATGACATTTAAGATATGGAAGTGGCAGAGCTCTGGTAAGCTTGTTTGATGTGATCTCTAGAGATCTTAAAGAATAACTTTGCCAGAACGGATGCAGCTGAAATATTGAAGCAGCCCTTTATTTTAATACACCCTGGTAAGTCGAGAGTCCATAAAATGAAGAATTGGAAATGATTCATTTGAATTAAATAGGTAACAGCTAACCAGAGAGTTAAGATTTAAATGTGCCACTCGAGGACAGAGTGGGATTCTGGTAAAAAAAAAAAAAACATACCCTTCCCTCCCCTGGTATCTCCACCCATGGACTCCACCTCCAGCCTAGAACAACACTTTTGAGCAAGTCGGCCATTTTTATTCTCGCTAGCGAAGGAAGTGATGTCTAGCGGGAAAACTGAGGGGGGGCTCATTGCATTTGAAGAGACACACACACCAAAACGGAGCGTTCTGAGAAAGCTGGTTTATACAGGGTCACAAATATCCTCTGGTGCTTGATTCATGTTATTTTTTGACCACAGCACAGCACAGATGTTTCATTTAGACCACATGGGACTGTTTGAAAAGGTGGAAAAGGGGGAAAAATATGTCTTCTTTAAAGAAGAAATTAAAGCTGAGAAAGGAGCAACTTGTTGGAGTTAAGGGATAAAGTTTAAATTTGTACTTCTTGTGAATGAACTGTGTGTGCTCAGAGAACCCTTTGCACTGCTTTATCTAGTGTTCCAACAAGAATTCAATCAATTATTTAATTGATTGCCTGAAATAATGAACCTTGATTTTGCTCGTTATGCAGAAAAGTGAGAATAGACAAAAGTATATTTTCATAAAACAAAATCTAATTCCTAATCATGTGTCTATGACGCTAGAGTTAGGCACGAGGTGTGACGTATATTTAATATTGGGATCAGGGAAAATAATGTCTGAAAGAAAAACTTAAGGTTAAAGTTTCACTAGCTATCCAAAAAGTGACAACCCAAAGGGTAAGAAAAAAATCACTTTATGCACAAAACAATCTGGTCATCACCATGTGACACAGCATATAAGGCACATCCCCCAGGTGAAATTATGTGTTATCAGGGACTCTCTTGAGATACCAGCACAGACGCCACTCTCCACACTTCTGAACTATCAGCAGCATCAAACCCCAACAGCCACTGGAAAGCAATGGCTCATGATGCAAGGCACATTTAGCAGACAGAAATCAGGACTTATGCTGGAGGGTGGATGTGTCTGCAGTCAAACTGTGTGTCCTTGTCTGTAATAGACTGCTGATGAGGGAAGGAGTGTCTCTCCCACACTCCATCACAACCCCAGCCTCTGCCTTCTGGGCTTCTCGGAGACACAACTGAGTGAGAGCAGGGGTACTGTGTCTCTCTGTATGTCCTCTAAAACCAACTACACATGAACAAGAGACTGACTAGCAAGCAAGTAACATCCATAAAACAAACTCTATGTGTCCCAGGATGCTGCGTTTTCTCTTTCCACCAAAGTCAGTCTTTCTTAAAACAATTATTGCATTTTTCTCCGGCATTCCTCCTCAAATCTCATCACTGCTCTCTCTACTCGAGCAGTTTGCTTCTGGGGAGTCACCACACATCTGTAGAGTCCGGGGATACCAACTGAATGCCATGACTAAGCCGGACATTACAAAGGGCCTCCAGCACCTCAGTGGGCCTCCCAAGATAAGCAGCTTTAGAGGGTCAGGTGAGAGCCCGTTTGGCTGCCTCACTTGAGATAATCTGGACCGCTAGAATGATCAACAAAGCTCTGGATAAATCCTGATTAGTGGATGGCTCTATCTGGACGATACTCTACTTTTATTTTTCCCTCTAACTCCTCACGTTGAGCAGAATTATTGTCTTACATCTTTGTGGAGAAGTAAACATCCAGATGAGTTGAATGTGTGTACAGTAAAGCATTATGCTAGGTCATTGGTTCCCAACCTGGGGTTCTGGCCCCTACAGGAGGGACGGGGTTGGGGGCTGGGGGCTGGGGGGGTTGTCTGCTCTGAGGTTGTCAAAATTAGATATGTACATATTGACTAAAATCATAATAAAACACTTACTGGATAGTGTATCCGGTCTGGTAACAACAAGTGTGTAGACATATTCTGTTGGGATTTTATCAATGAAAACTATTCAGCCACGCATGTTTTTTTTTCTGATAGAAAATAATAGTGGCAGAGGCCTCTTCTAAAACTCTCCAAGGCCCAAGGTCACTTGGGTAGAGAAGTGTCCTTCACCTAAAACCTGAATTACACCTCAGAGAACACAGTCCCGGATGCCCCCTCTCAACCTGTGTGGCTCTTATGTTTCTGAGTTCAAAGGTCAGCATTAAGGACATGAAACCCTCAAAGTTTCTCAGGCTGAGAGTAACAGAAGAAAGGCCTTCGATTCATCCTTCTCCCCCAGCCAGGAATAAAGAAAAAAAATAGAGGACACACACAATGAAGGAATCTCAAAGCTCTGAAGGAGAGCATGTCAGAATGAAAGAAAATAAAATAAATCTATTTTCCCTCACTATTGCTTCATAGAGAAAACGCTACCTATAAAGATGCCACAGTTTGTAACAGCTCTGTCACTTAGACCGACTGATGCTTGCTGATGCATGGATTCACCTCACTAATTCTTCAGAGGAGTGAGATCAATATACAAGCTTCAGACTGGCACTTTAGAACAAAATCCCTCACAGCACTCTGTGGTTACAAATAAAGCAATGTGTTTAAAACACATCTTAACTTTCAAATATACAGTGGGTACGGAAAGTATTCAGACCCCTATTTTTCACTCATTTTTTCATTGCAGCCATTTGCTAAAATCAATTTTATTTCTCATTAATGTACACTCAGCACCCCATTTTGACAGAAAAAAAACAGAAATGTAGACATTTTTGCAAATTTATTAAAAAAGAAAAACTGAAATATCACATGGTCATAAGTATTCAGACCCTTTGCTGTGACACTCATATTTAACTCACATGCTGTCCATTTCTTCTGATCCTCCTTGAGATGGTTCTGCTCCTTCATTGGAGTCCAGCTGTGTTTAATTAAACTGATTGGACTTGATTAGGAAAGGCACACACCTGTCTATATAAGACCTTACAGCTCACAGTGCATGTCAGAGCAAATGAGAATCATGAGGTCGAAGGAACTGCCCAAGGAGCTCAGAGACAGAATTGTGGCAAGGCACAGATCTGGCCAAGGTTACAAAAGAATTTCTGCAGCACTCAAGGTTCCTAAGAGCACAGTGGCCTCTATAATCCTTAAATGGAAGAAGTTTGGGACGACCAGAACTCTTCCTAGACCTGGCCGTCCAGCCAAACTGAGCAATCGTGGGAGAAGAGCCTTGGTGAGAGAGGTAAAGAAGAACCCAAAGATCACTGTGGCTGAGCTCCAGAGATGCAGTAGGGAGATGGGAGAAAGTTCCACAAAGTCAACTATCACTGCAGCCCTCCACCAGTCGGGGCTTTATGGCAGAGTGGCCCGACGGAAGCCTCTCATCAGTGCAAGACATAAGAAAGCCCGCATAGAGTTTGCCAAAAAACACATGAAGGACTCCCAGACTATGAGAGAAGATTCTCTGCTCTGATGAGACCAAGATTGAACTTTTTGGCTTTCATTCTAAGCGGTATGTGTGGAGAAAACCAGGCACTGCTCATCACCTGCCCAATACAATCCCAACAGTGAAACATGGTGGTGGCAGCATCATGCTATGGGGGTGTGTTTCAGCTGCAGGGACAGGACGACTGGTTACAATTGAAGGAAAGATGAATGTGGCCAAGTACAGAGATATCCTGGAAGAAAACCTCTTCCGGAGTGCTCAGGACCTCAGACTGGGCCGAAGGTTCACCTTCCAACAAGACAATGACCCTAAGCACACAGCTAAAATAACAAAGGAGTGGCTTCGGAACAACTCTGTGACCATTCTTGACTGGCCCAGCCAGAGCCCTGACCTAAACCCAATTGAGCATCTCTGGAGAGACCTGAAAATGGCTGTCCACCAACGTTCATCATCCAACCTGACAGAACTGGAGAGGATCTGCAAGGAAGAATGGCAGAGGATCCCCAAATCCAGGTGTGAAAAACATTCCCAAGAAGACTCATGACTGTACTAGCTCAAAAGGGTGCTTCTACTCAATACTGAGCAAAGGGTCTGAATACTTATGACCATGTGATATTTCAGTTTTTCTTTTTTAATAAATTTGCAAAAATTTCTACATTTGTTTCTTTTCTGTCAAGATGGGGTGCTGAGCGTACATTAATGAGAAATAAAATGAACTTTTTTGATTTTAGCAAATGGCTGCAATGAAATAAAGACTGAAAAATGTAAAGGGGTCTGAATACTTTCCGTACCCACTGTAGCTGTCAAACCATTACAATTGTAATCACGTTTAAGCGCAAAATTTCAATAGTTCATTGCAATCTATCACATTTTTAATCGCATGTTTGAAATTCAATTAATATTTCACAATTTGAAAAAAAATTGTTAGGCTTTTATTTTTAAATTTTGTACTGTCTTAAGCTGAGCGTACTTTACTTGCTGTTTGAATTAAACCTATTTGAATTATGGATCTAAAACAAAATGAAAACAGCTCAAAGGAACTGTAACAAAGTGAATGTTTGATGTCATGAGGTTTTTTAATGAAATTAGATATTCAAAGATGAAGCAGTAACATCATTTTCCATCACTGTGACTACAGAGAAACAGAAGCTGGTCCACAGTGCGCCTTCATCATGGCATGTTGTTATTATTCACCGTAAAAAAAATGAATGCATTAACTTCAGCCTTAATTACTCACAATTAACTAGTTAATGCGGAAAGCCTACTTTCAAACTGACAATAGTTCACTGGTCAAGGTCTACATAATGTCTGTGATGAAATATTCAAACATTTCTCCAGACAGTCTGTATTTCTGAGTTCTACAGTCATTGTAAGATCTATTTTCATCAGGACTCTTGTTTAATATAAATGCCTTTATCTTAATTAAACATAATGTCCCAACTTAGGCTAACAGCTGTCATGACTGAAGACAAATAAAACAGATGAAATTATTTGGTTCAACTCTCCAGATCTAATTATTCACACAGAAAAGAACAAGAATATGATTATATGTGATTAGACCTTTTGCTTACATCTTGAAATGTATTCACCCTTGTTTTGAAAAGGTGGAAACACCTGATTCATTAAAAAAAAGGGGGGGGGGGGGACTATCTTAAGTTACAGTCAAGTTTGAGTACAGTCACTTAAGGTTGAATAAGCTGGATTCTAGAGACATAATTGATCCTTATCTATATTCAAATGCAATCACAACATGGATAATGGTTTTAATATGACATTTAGAGATGCACTGATTGTGAAAATCAGGGCCAACCAATACCGATGTTTAATATAACAATTTGGCCGATTGCTGATTCCAATGTTTTTTCCATTACTTTTTGTTGTAAGACTCCCACACTGCTAACGTATTTTTTCTCGTTTGACCATGAAAACAGATCAGTTTGTCCAAGAGATGACTTCCTCTGCCCAATAAAAAAACATCTTCTCTGAAACAGCAGTCAGTGGTACTAGCCTACCAGCATTTATTGGATGCAACACAACAGATAGACATCAGCAACTGACCCATGCCACATTAGATGCAGATGAGCCGATGTCTGTCAACAGGGACTATACCAGCTCATATCAAAGTTAAACCGATGCATCAGTGCATCCCTAATGACATTCAATTATTAATCCATTCTTCCATCTTTCCCTTTTAGTTTTTGTACTTGGGTCTGCTGATCCAAACGATAGCCTAGGTCTTATAATAACAGAGGAAAAAGCCAGGAGCTTGTTTTACCTCTGCTTCTCTCCTCTTTCTTGTGTCTTGGACAAATTGTTGCAGCTGCATTTTACAAACAAAGCTGATTGTCTTTTGACTTTTGGTTAAGGCCTTCTTAAGTTGGTTAGACCTATACTTGAGCATTGCACCTTCATGCAGGATCAACATATGCACTGAATCCTGATGTGCCGCTCCTCTTCAGGGCCTCAACCAGAGACTATATAATCAATCAATCAATTGTTATTTGTATAGCGTCAACTCATAAAAAATGTTATCTCGAGAAACTTTACAAAAAGCAGGTAAAAGACCTTACTCATTGTTATGTTACAAAAAGCAGGTAAAAGACCTTACTTATTGCTATATTACAAAGACCTGGCCTATCCATCTATATAAGCCAAGTGCTTCTAACTCCTGTTGACCCCAAAAGGACAAACCTGACAAAAAAGGTCTTCCTGTTCTCCATCAAATGCTCAAACACAACGTTTCTTAACTGAGGTACCGAAGCACATCAAGCTGCCACATCTTCAACTTCTATAAGGAAGCAGTCCAGCCAAAGAACATGGTTCTCTTAAATAATTGTACATTGACACAAGCATAAGTAAAGCTTATTAGTACCGCTCTACCCTCTTCCCTTTTCTAACTGCTTCAGCAACAAACAGGTGACTATCTATTTTCCATGAACCAGTTTTGGTAGCCACAGGAACACTAGAGGCAGTATTATCTGCAATCTTATTAAACAACATATGGCTGATGATAACACAGAGGACAGTTCCTAAGCTTCAGAGACAATATTTAAATTGAAATGACAGTTTATGCATGGCTGGATGCATACAGGATTCAACACTACCTGAAGTGTTGCTGTTGTTCTTAAAAAAGACCACATGAATAAATGCAACATGAAACGGTAATATATAGCTTGTTAAAACATAGCTGTAACACCAAATACTGTAAGAAACTACAATTACAAGTCATTATCATTCATTATAAAACTTACTAGAGTGCTGCTGCAAATTGAAAACGACCAATAAACACTGCATGCTAATGAGTATGATGAAGACGTTTCAGGTGTTAAATAGGTTGCAGCAACACTGCCTACCTTTTCTGAAAAGTGCTCCAAACACTTCACACAGCAAGCATTAAGTGAGAAGACAGGATCACACAGTTAGGAAGTGTCGGGGGGAAAAAACACACAAATGCACACACACACACACACATACCTACAGAAGCACATATTTTTTGCAAGACTAGATCTTACAGCATAATATTGCAGTCTGGATCGAGGGGAGGAATTCGATCTCCTAAAAACCACAGTGGATAATCGACAAACAGGAGGAGGATGAGACAACTGACCAATCAATGAGCTAACAGTTGTTACTATCAATCATCTGGGGAAGGATTTAAAAACAGCTAGTATCAACCAAATTGTATCTGTACTTTATTTAACAGTACACACCTTGCTATGGAGTCCCATATTCCTTTGCTTTCACCACCTTCACTTAAAAGATCTTCATTGATCTTATCTGCCTTTTTCTGCACCTTTAGAGATAAAGAAGACAACAAACAATAATCTTATTTCAGTGATTTCATTAAGGATTGTGTTAAACTCCTCTTTTTTTAGAAAAATCAGTTGAATGATTATCTAATGTGATTAACAAATATACTCACTCTGACTTTGATGATCTTACTGTGGAAACTGTTAAGCACAACTTTGACATCTCCAGCGTCTGCAGGGGAATCAGTTCCATCGTGCCTGATAAAGAGAGAGAGAGAGAGAAAGTGGTCACTGTCACTGAGATTACAAACCAGTGTTCATCATCACTTCTGGGTCATGGATGTGCAGCTAGTTGGTCTAACACACATGGAGAAAACTCCAAAAACATGTTATTGAAACTGATCTTTTGTTTCCCTCATTGTTGGCCATGACTATTTGCAGCAGTCCACACATTTTAGTATTGCCAATAACATTCAGTTCTATTATTATTATGGGAGGTTCTTTGTATGTATAGGACAAAATGTATTTTGGGGCAACTGTGGATCAGTGGTAGAGTCCGTCTCCCAGCTGGAAGGTCGGGGGTTCGATCCCCTGCTAGTACCACATATCCAACGTGTCCTTGGGCAAGACACCTAACCCAAAGTTGCTCCTGCTTCTTCATCTGCGTTGTATGTGTATTAATGTTAGCTATTACTGATGTCCACTTTACATAGCAGCCTCTGCCTTCAGTGTGTGAATGGGTAGGTGCGGCCCGCAGCGTAAAAGCACTTGGAGTAGTCAGAAGACTAGAGAAGCTACAGTTTACAAGCTAAATTTAGTATTTAAATTATTTCACCTTGTTCAAGCTGGTCACCAAGATCAACAAACCAGAAAAAAAATTCCTCACAGGAGCATTAACTGGCAATCAGATAGCTGGACACTTTTTTGTTTTGTTTGTTTTAACAGTCAAAAAAAATCTTTATTTTACTGAACTAACAGACATTACAGAACTTTGAATCCTACAGGTTAGTATTGAACTTTTTTGTAAGAACATCTTTCAATCAAACTTAAACCATAAAGAACTAAACCCTTAGCAATCATTAACTATCATGAACTTGATTTTGATATTTATTGGTAAGATTCTGTTAAGCATAACACACAGAAAACATCTATGGAGATCAATCAGAAATGCATCCAAGTGTCTCAGTAGGCACGACTATGTATGTGTTTGATTGACAAGTGTGAGCTGGCCGGGGCAGATTGATATATAGAAAACAAACAGACAGCTGGGAAACTAAAGAATATGGAGCAGACCATTTACCATCTAAACACAAACCAAGCTGTTATTTGAAGGGATTTATTTTTGACTATTCAATGTGACACAGTCGAATAGCTACATTAAAGCAAATCAACACAGCATGAACATTCATTATTGATCGAGGCAGCGGAGAGCTATGACTACTTTCTAAAGTGCTCTCAGAGACTATGTAGCTCTCATGCAACCTCTGAACCAATTAGTCTGATGTCTGTTTTAATCATGTGCTTGAGTCCACCATCTAAGAGACAGTGACTGAAATTGGTTCACATTGGTTCAGATGTTTAAGACAATGCAACAGTGAAAGAAAAATCTACAGTATGGACTCTAATGGAAGAGACAGCAGCCAATGGACCAACCACTGACTCAAGAGAAAAGCAGAGTCTGGGACAGCTGCCAGGGTCACACCGACCATATTCATTACCCTCAATCATCATTAAGAATCACCTTTCCTTTATTTTTCCCATCACTACTTCCCAGCCATGCTGTATAAACTGTCAAATTCAAATGAGAAAGTCTGTACAGTATCGATTGTGTAACGCCGGCCTTTCACTGTAATTGATTTAGGACTGATTTGCCCAATGAAGTATGTGTTTTGGCAGGCAGGATCTGCAGGGTCTGATGGTGAAGCACCAGAGAGCAAACTTCAGGAACAGATGAGCAATAGGCTAAGATGCACAGAAAGCCATTACGACCCCAGTGCTTACTAAAGGCAAAAAACCCTAACCGTATCACCATGATAAATGCCTCCTCCTTAGTGGACCGAAGGTGCAATTCCCCCCCCTCAAATTCTGCTTGTGTTTCCCCCACTCTGCTGTCACTGATGCAACTCAGCCTTTAGGACTTGTGTTAGAAAGCACCAGAGATCAATCTGTATCCTTGCTCTGAGGAGAGAGGAGAGCTGGCTGTCTCATTCATCGCTGTCAGGGTGAGGCACAGTGGCAGCACAGGCTGCAAGAGGAAAAGGCAGGCTGTTGGACCGGAGAGCGCGGACACTCCCACTAGCCTCTGATCGGCCACCTAACCAGAGCAGAGTGCCGCTAACCACAAGAATAATGACACTGCCAAGGTGAAAAATGACATCACCTCTTTGCTTCACCTGGAGGATTGGGGAATAAATCTTAGTTGTCTGATATGATTCCAGAAGAACCGAGGGCTGTATGTGTCCTAAATGTTATGTGGGAATAGCCAGAGAGGACAATATCTGTGATTGTAGGGACAACTAGTATAAGGCCCTAAGCTGCACATACAAACACAAAATGTATGGCTGGGATTTAAGTATCACAAATTGACAGTGAGAGATTATCAATCTTTTTCTTTTTTTAAATTTGTATAGCTCTTGTAGGAAGAGCAATGAGTTCCTTTAAAAAAAATAATTGTTGATTTGTTTCTAGATCTAAGAAGAAGCACTACAGCACATTTTAATTAAAGTAAAACAGCAGAATTAAAAGAATAAAAAGCATGAAATATTGCATTTTGCTCAAAATGAATCACCCAAACTGAATCACAACACAGTTTCCATTTGTCCTGGGAAATTAGACAACGCCAACGCACTCTGTCTCGTTTATGAAGCCTTTGACTCCTACGCCGTCCAAATGAAAACACGTTCTGCTGCAGATATTTTGCTGTCTGAGGTGGATGCCGTGGCAGGTGACCAGCTGAATCATCCCTCCACTCCGTCTTCTCTTTAATAGCACCCCTCTCCTCCCACTTGTCTCTCTTCCCCTCTGTAGTGAACACAACTCCCTGCACTCATCAAAACCTTGAGCTGCTACAGTGTCAGCAGCTCTCACTGTTACCATAGTGATGGGTTTCTCAGCCACCGGTATGTAATGGAGAGGTAGCTGAAAACAGCCTTGATGCTGAGCAACTGATGAAGCCACCTAATTAGCGTCATTACTTTAGAGGGTTTTTCTTTTTCTCAAATTAAGTTCATATCTGCAAGAAATGACAACAATGGAACTGGTGAGCACTCACGTGAGAATCTGATAGATGTCCTCTGATCTCCCTTTTCGTAATCTCAGGATCCAGGCACCAGGATTGGCTTTCAGCTGGAAATATCCCTGTTGTGGAAGAAACACTAAACTGTTTAACTTCTAAACTTGATATAGAAGTTGATTATTATGATAGCCATGCTGTGTATCAACAAAAACTGCCTTAGCAACTCTAGTAGTAACTGTGGAAAGCTGCTGACCAGGTTAGCCATGACGATAGTATCGTACATAAGAAGGTCCTGACTCATGCCCAGGGTAAACTGCAGTCCTCGGGGAGGCTGCCCAGTCGACAGGTCAAAGCAGTGACCCTCCAGCAAGAGGTGCTCCAGCTCATACTCCGCTGTCACAACCCCGCTTACCTGGAGAGAACCGCAAATTAGCGAGGACAAAAACAACAACAACAACAACAGGAGAAGTGATTAATAGAGAGCAACTCCCCTCTCCTTAAAGAGGTGATAATGCCAAGAATGCTGCTTGTAATGATTAAGGAGCAGGATACCTCCTGCAGGTGGATGTTATCTAAGTCATGGGGGCTGCGGACAGCCTGCACCATCCAGCTCTCTGGTGTGATCATATTGAGGGTGAGGAGGGGAGACTCTTGGAGCTCTGTGAAGCGGGCAACTGGTCCTGGAGAAACGGTGTCGTTGGCCAAGAAATTTACATCAGACTCCAAGACAAAGCGGTAAAAGCTGTGAAATGACAAACGGAGGCTTACTTGTTGAACATACTTGTTGATTGCCCATTTAGATAGAATTTAACAGAGTAGAGGATTGGAATCCTGAATTGGTGAATATCCTACTTACACTATACCAAGTCGACAATTCAGACCGACAAAGGCAAAAGTCCTCTTCTGCAAGCATTGAAATCATGACATGTTGTGCAGCAGTCTTATTTTCTAGGACAGGAGAGATGTGCTCTGTTGTGACAGCTCGGTATATACAATCTCTTCAAAGTGAGGGATCTAATACTATTACTGACTGTGTTCCTGCTCAGTTAATACCAGAAACATATGCAGCATTCTGTGCACCGAAATGTTCCCTTTCTCCATCATTACTCAGAGTTGTTTCAAATGTTAGCTAAGGGCTAATCTTTATGCTAATTGCTATTTTTCAATGTGACCTCTGACACTAAGATGTCATGATGAATTCTGATAATAATAACATAGGATATAATATTAACAGATGATACACAACCAATGCCAATACTTTTTATTCTGAATGTTTTTTCTTGTATTCAAAGTTGGATTATCACATTTCTTATTCTCATGCAAAGTTCTCTAAAGTTAATCCACACCACAGCAGCTGTGTTTGGGTAAACCAGAACACACAAGAGGGGCTGCTAGCAGTGTGAGATGGGAGCTGCTATCACAGCCCGGGAATGTTAGAAGGAAAAGGTTGCAGTTTGAGAAAGAGAATATCAGTACACAAGGGGGGTCTTCACCCGATCTGTTTGTTTGTGAGATGAGAAATTCACCACAAGAATAAAAGTGAGCGAAAGAAGAATAGCAGGCCTGTGGTCTCTGCTGCACTGAGAAGTATCAGATGAATTAAATAAACCACTTGCACTGGATGGGATTCATTATTTCCACTGACAGCAGTATCTCAAGGGTTGATATTACTAAGTTTATGGCTCTGCAATAGACATTCAGCAGTTTTTTTAACTAGATGTCATCCTAAAAGAGAACAAAGATCCTTTGTACACTTTTTTAATTAAGTTTCTTTTCTCATTTAAAAGCAAATTTATTCCTCAAGATGAAATGTTCCATTGGTTCTTGATCAACACCAGTGTTTAAAAGTTTTACTTCTGGGACCTCTGCCCAGTTTGTTGTATTTTCAACAGTTAAACGTGAGGGATGGTCTCAAGGAAAGCAACACAGAACTTCTCTATCACAAAAGCTGATTCGATCAAATGGTTCTGCATTGGGATACCCCTGACAATTTGACCAGCTTTGATTGCAAACTTCCATTTATCTTGAATGTGAAAATATTGTTTCCATTTTGTCAAAAGACAAGCAATTGCAACTTAAGGAAACAGGAAAGTGTAAAGGGTTGAGGAGGGGCTACTTTGAATTGATTTGTGTTATTTCAATTCAAGCTAGTTTCTGACAGAGGTCAATCAAGGTCATACTGTTAATCATCTCCTCAAACTGAAGCTAAACTCTGTCAGTGATTTCTGTCATTAGGCATTGGAAAAGAAAACGTTGAAGCCCTTTCAGGAAAGCTAAACTACAAACGACTCAACCCATTACAGAACAAATTAAAAAAAAAAACACTTCAAATCACATAATGACTAACATTCACTCACTACTGCAAATGTTAATGAACAATTTCAACCTTTCATTTGTTGTTGTTTTTTTTTTATACTGTTGTTTTTACAGCGTGGCGTGAACCACAACGGTGCAAGCTGTAAGCAATTTGCCCGGAGATGTGAGGGGAGGCCCAAAGCAATAAGGTGGTGTTATTAAGCAGATTGAATCTGTGCAGTATAATCTTACAAAGGGAAGGAGCGAGGCAGAGATGCTAAGTCTGCAGTGGTCACAGGATACACAAACAAGCCAAACAGGGAAATTTAATTACTGTTGGAGCTGCAGCTTACCTCTTGAGGGGCATCTCGGACAACTTGGCCCTGCAATTCATAAACACCTGCAGTCTCACATTGACCACTTGACTGAGCACCTGCAGCGGTCACAGAAGATGAGATCCAATTAGGGATTCAGGAGTAACATGGAGCCCAGCCCAGCAGAAAGGTAGAAGACATGCATGCACCTTTTTTTATGGAAAATAAAAGGATTTGATGGATGAAGCATTTTTACATGATGTCTCTGATGATTGGTGATATAAAAAGTAATTACAAGTGTGTTGAACTGCCTTCTTTATACCATCCATGATGCTGATATGCTGGATTGATGTTTCCTGTATCACTGTTCGGTTTTCATACATTTTGCCAAAGAAATACACAGCAGACATCTAATGAGATTCAATCAAACTAAGTTCACTGAGGAAATAGTTTCTTAAAGGAAGAATGTGAGACTTTTTGATCCAGTAGATCCCTTGAGCACCAGCACTAAACCAAAACAAACTGCTGTTTGCAGACACCTCCGCTCTGCTCCTGCAGCACACCTCCAACCTCTCTCCACTCGCGTTCGCATGAAAGAGTTATCAATTAGAATGCACCATAATTAAGCACCATTGAGCACAACACTGTCCTAGGCTTGAGCTGCAATTGCCTGTGTCCTGCATTGTTATGTTAGCATGCTAATGTTAGCACACTTTGGTTAACTCATAGCTTCACATTGCACATAAATTGACACAGAATGACCGATATCTATAGACACCTACGTGACATCCAAAGAAACAGTGAGTAGGCTTTGTTATTCTTCTTTTCTCTCGTCCTTAACTGAAACAGATTTACACGCAAGGTCCATGTAAACACGGTCCCAACAATAACACAGCCAGCGGGACTCGAGCTTCTCACTCATTGTAAAGTCATGTACAAGAGACATTTACAGAGGATATACTTGATTACTGCAGTATTTATGTGTAAAGTGTTGCACATTCTTCCTTTAATGACCTAATCCGTTTAAGCAATAAATAGCATGCTTGTTTTTAGCTCACATAGGATGCATCCTCATACAGTAAAATAATCTAGATAGATAGATACTTAATGATCCCGAGGGAAATTCAATGGACTTTTTCTACTTTCTGATCAATTTTAACAACTTGAAGAATACTTTTAAGGTGTTGGCAGGACAACTATTTTCTAAACATATGCTTTGTACAGAATCTAACCATGAATCATCAGAGGCTTTGTGTTTCTGTACCCTTCCTTTCAGTGAAGAGATTTCAATGTGTCTCTGCTGTATTGAGAATCAATGGGAAGAAAAGAAAACAGCTTACAATCAGCAGAGATGACATCTTCTGTGCCTCCCGAGTGAGCGGGTCAACGATGGCCACAACATCATAGAGCACCTCATCTTCTCGTGGGGACAGTCGGAGCACGCTGTGAAAGAGGACGTCTCATAAAGTGGATTCAGCATCACAAGGTTATACAAAGTTTATTCAGCAAAACTGCAAATCAAAAGATTCGCCTTTCTAGACTGCTTGAAATGATGGCGTAGCAATTTTTTGGAACCATTCTAACAAAAGGAGAATTATAAATACTTCCCTGAGAGACTGCAGAGTCAACAGGACAGTAAACAGAGAAAAAATAAGTGTTGCCCACCTGTGGCTGTCTTTGATAAAGGCGACATCTCTCCTGACCTCTCCTTTGGGGGCTGCAGTGAGGAGGGCATCGACTTTCATGATTAAGTCACTGGCACTAAGGGAAGAGAGGTGTAGCGGGGTCAGTCCATCATTTATTAACACTACATGTTAGGAGAGAAGTCAAACAGAGCTCGCATAATGTTAAGTCCACCTGCTAACAAGGTGGACTCATTCATCCTTAATGGTGACATGCTCTAAATAATAGAACACTTGACATCGCACACATTTAGATTTCTTCTTCTCAAGAGAGCAATAGGAGGATTTTTTCCTTAGAAAAGCTTTAAGTCAAACTTAAGAATGAATAATATTTAAACTCCTCACAATTAAGCTCTAATGAAGGGATATTCACATGTTCCTCACAGACAGGTTAAGAGAGATTCAGGAGACTTTTTTGCATAAAAAGGCAGAAAAAACATACTGCTTTGGCTTCATCCCCATCTGCTTCACTTTGGCTTTGACTTTCTCTGCAGCACCACTCAGTGTTATCTTCTCCAGCAAGTGGAAATCCTCCAGGCTGAATTCGTCCTGCTCTTCAAACGGACCAAGGATCTAACATGGAGGAAAATCATGTGGTCAGGTCACAACTTTCTTACCAATTACATTTACAACTACTTTAGTAATTGTTACATGTCATGTGATTGAAAAGGTTATTTTTGCACTGTATTTAGTGTAGTGATTTTGTTTTCCCTTTCTCTATATTGGGAGGATAGTCCTGCCACTGCAGCACAGGAATGTGAAATGCTATCAAATGTTACTGCCATCTGAAAAGGCTGGCCTCTTTACGCATGCCTGTCAGCATCACTGTTGCTGTGACATCAGTCATCAGCTCCGTGCACACAGACTGACACTCACACAAACAAACTCAAGTGCAGATACTGCCCGCTGTGACCTTAAAAGGAACATGCATGCTGATTTGACAGTACAAAGAAAGCTGGAAACATAGCAGCTTAAAGGATTCTACTCTACTGCATCAAAGAATGACAGCAGATTTTTATGAATGGGATATTGAAGGTTTATGTGGGAAGCTGTCGATCAGTACTCTAAAGAAACAAACAACATGTTCAGCTGTATTTGAGTTGAAGTCCACTTACCCTGCCGTTGCTAATCACTGCCTGCTGTCCAGGCCTCAGTTTCAGGACTTCTCGACAAAACAGCTGCTGACTGCGGATGAAATCCACTTCCAGTGTGTTGAACTTTTTCTCAAAGGCATCTTTGTCCATGCCCTGGAGCAGAAAAAAAAAAGTTTGTTTTGGATGTTAGATAAATGTGTTGCTATGTTTGCTCACAGTACATCAAGCACTTCGCTTTGTAAGATCCAAAAGACCAGCTGAAGGACCTTTCTCCCTTCACAACAGCCTGTCCAAAAAAAAAAAAAAATGATGCATCGACAGGAATAATTATGAATGTGAGGCAAACAGAAAATTATTCACAATATTATTGATGCCTAGCATCAGCAAAAATCACTGCAGCTCTCAAACATAAAATATATTTCAGCCTGAGGACCAAGCTATAAAAAATGTGCCTGTGTGAGAATGAGATTAATCAATTTGTAATTAATTTAACAAACTCTTAATTAAGCCTCTGCCATTTTTTGTCTATAACAAATTAGGTGTGGGAGTGTGGAGGGTTTGTGGAGTCAGGTTATTAGTTTCTCCAACATCTCTCCTCAGGAGAACAGGTGAAATACCAATAATGTCAGCACAATCCAGTCAGCAAGTCTGTCTGGCAGCCAATAATAAACTCATATCCCTCGACTCTGTGTCTCAGCTCACACAGCCACCCCTACCTATCTTCCCGTTGCTATTTCCAGCCTATTCTCTCCCCATTGTTAAAGGCTGGTATAATTGAAGGGCAGTTTGTTATGGTTGGTCCCAAATGTAACCTGTGCTCTATGACATATTCCTGAGGGGGGAGGTAGGAGCTCTCCTGTCAGCTGATTTGTTGATGAGTGCCTGTGGATTTTTTTTTTATTCTGTGTAATGCTGTGTGGGTGGATAGCAGCACACTATGGCGTGGAGAACACAAGAACACCCTGCTTACTGCAGCAGAGTGACGGTCAGGCCTGGCTGAACACAGGAGGCTCACGCTACCATGAACGTTGAGCAGGAGCCATTCATCAGGTCTTGGAGACCAGGTATCCAGCAGCACCTTTTAGTTACAGATTCAGCATGTGGAGCCCGCTTTGTGCTGCATGGCCCCCCTGTGACAGATCATGTGGAACTGACAGTGAGTAGGCCGCTTGCCTTGGCATCCACGGGCTGTGCAACATCACGCGTGCTCTAAATGTATTCTGTTAGCTGGTCTTCAGGGTAGGAAAGAGAAGATCGGCTCATCAATCACCATTTTCTTCAACTGTGCACTTAAACCAAGAAAGCAGTGGCAGACAGATCTCTGCAAGTGGTAACATCCAACCTTTGTTTTCCTTTGCCCTACTGTAAAACATTTTTGTTTTTTTCTAATTTCTATCCGTTTTGAAAAACATATTCCCCTTTAACAGATACTTCACCGACATATCTTATTACAAATATACGTATATATTAAATAATCAAAAAAATACTTTAATGTCCAAACAGTTACACTCAAACTGTTGCTTCACATATTGTTTAACATTGGACAATAAAAGGCTATAAAACCATAGGACGACATAAAACAGCTTACTATTCATATTGAGGGAGCTGTCCCTTAAATATCTCTGGTTGTGTGAGCCCATGCCAAGCAGTGTTGCAAATCAGTGAGGACTGTTTTATGGCAGTATTAGATTTAAAGTATTTTGCATCAATGTGATAAAGTACCTCAAGTACTTCACCTCTGTCATTCCTCTGGCCTGAAACAGCTTTTTCCATCTGGTTATTTTGTGTCTGTATGTTTTTTTCCCCAGTTGAATCGAACTTGTTTATATCGAAATGTAAAACGAGCATAACCATGACCAAATAAACCAACTTCTAAGTTGTTAATCTAGCACCTTCTGTTGTACACAAACAACGGGTTTTGTTTTGCTGCCATGCTTTCTTGGAGATTACATCCCCTCCCCCCTGAGACATTCATGTGTTTAACCCAACAGAGAGTCATTTTCAGTTTTCTAATCAGCCCATACTGCTGGCATCAAAACATATTTGTCAGCTGCTTTAGGCATTGTTACCATTCAGCAAATTGTGGTGGCTGCTGCAACAAATCAAAATTCCCCATATCTAGTTGAAACGATGATCATGGAAATGGTTCCTGTCAGCCAGGATGCAGATCGTTCCTGCTATAAACCCCATATGACATGAATTTTCCATCAACATTATGCTACTCACTAATCGGTTTACACATGTTAAAAGAATTGATATACTTACAACAACATGAGCTTTTGTTTCAGGGCATAAATAACTGTAAATGAGGGGTGAGGAAGGAACTCTATTTCATTGTGATTGTTGATGTGAATAGTTTTAAGACTGTCTGTCAAAGAATTACAGAGTTCTTTAAGGTCTGTGGGATTTTTAGTGGGGATTAGTTGCCATAAAGGGGCTGGGGAAGATCCTGTGCAAAGATAAAAGTATGTTGATATTTTGTTTTAATTTCAGATGATATTTTAACACAAGGCCATTGTCAGAACAGGATTTATGACTTATATTATTATTGATAAGATGACCATGAGTTTTATATGAGAAGCTTTTGGTGCCAAACAGAGGGAGTACATTCTTTAATATTTAACTTACAGCAAACTAATACATTTTTAAGATTTTCAGAAATTATATAATTATTTAAATTTACCTGCATCAGTAAATCCTTCATCTTGGTCCCTTGTTGGAGGAGCTGGCTGCTCTCCTCTTTAAGGAGTTTTTGCACAAACTCTGCTGCAGCCTTATTCTTCTGGGTGATGAGAGAAGCCCAGAGAGCCCTGTACAGCACAGTGTTATCGTCGCTGGGCTTTCCGCTGGGGTTATCTATCACCCCCACACGCACTCCAGGGCTGGCCTTCTGCTTGCAGGCACACACACACACAGCAGTGATATAGTTCACACAAATATCATACATTCTCATATTTCCAGAGACTGTAGCTATTACTGAGGGAGAGAACTGGGAGGAGAGTATGTTGATCGCTAAAAGAGGTAACAGTAAAAGCGTCTCCTTTTCTGATAATACTATTAGCAAGCAATCTTTTTTTCATGACAAACACTAAATGCCTGCTTGTTCCTCTTAAGTTATCAACAGTGATTTATTTAAGAGGCATCTCTTTTCAGGAATTTTGTTAGTGAATGTGTTCAGAATTTATTAAGTACCGTATTTTCCGCACTATAAGGCGCACCGGAGTATAAGCCGCAGCAGCTAAATTGAATGATGTGTACATATATAAGCCGCACTGGACTATAAGCCGCAGGTGTTTTAATGTTTAATTACCATATGTAAGGGTTCGTGCACAGAGGGGATTGTCGGGAAAGAGATGGCTGCTTGAGGAAGCTCCCATTTAGCTGCATCATATGCATTTCTACGTTTGTTTTCCATAATGAGGGTTTGTGCATGAAAACTTCCTTTGCACAAACTGTCTTGCTCTCGTTCTGTCTCTCGTTCTGTCTCTCGTACCACTCTCGGTTCCACTTTTACTTTTGCGCGCTACCTGTCTCACTCTTTTCCGGCCTCCAGCTTTTCCTGCTGGAGCCCGCCGCTTAAAGGTGGGGGGGGCGCGGACCGGTCATAGAGCCCATAGAGTTGAAGTTGGTGGACTGTAACCTGTAAAATCCATAGATTTAGGAGGTCCCCTAGTGGCCGTTAGCTGTAAAAATCCATAGATTAGCCGCAGGGTCGAAAAATGGGAAAAAAGGCGCGGCTTATAGTCCGAAAATTACGGTACTTAGTTTTAGGTTGAATGGACTTTTGCCGTTTAAAAGCATCTCAATGGACTTCAATTTTTCCTCCAGACCCAGTTGTCATTTTAACGCCGGGCACTCAGGTTATTTAAATAGGAAAACAAGTTGTGCTCCCATTGGCGCCCAGGAGTTTGTTTGTCTTAAAATAAGGTGTGGTCAGGCGAATAGCTGGAGCGTTCCCATCTTGGGGACTCAGAAAACGACTGCGTCTTTGATCACCAAAAACCTGGTCTAACTGTCAACCTGTATTTAATGTTGAGCTCACAGAACATTAGTCAACCTATATCCTGTCCGAGCGTATCGGCATGTCGGGTGATTGTAAGAGTTAATAAGGAAATTCAGGGAAATGTAAATTCAATCTGCCATCAACACATTTCATACAGCATCCTGTGTGCGTTCAGGTTGTGATTAGCAAGGAAATGAGAGCTGACACTCTGGCTGGTTTGAACCATGTTACGACCAAAACACACATATTTATAATCAAGTGATTTAATCCAACCTCTTTGCACTCTGCGCCTGGCTCTGCATCCAAATTCAGCGCCATGTGAGAAGCAAGATATGTGTCGAAGAAGGGCTATTACAAAAAACTTTATTGACTGAATCGACATTCTTAGGATTTCAGGCCTCTATCATTTTGTCAAGATCTCAAAAAAATGTCTCCGTCTGCTTTTTGGATTCCCTAAGAATTTCACTGCAATGAGTTCAGTATTCGTGTTTTAACATTTAATAATAATAATAATAATAATAATACTAATAAAAATAATAAATGTCATTTTTAATGCACTTTACATTTTTGGAAAACATCTCAAAGTGCTACAAAGATAAAACTGTAGTACAGTTATCTAAAATAAACAAATAACAAAAGAAATGTCACAGCATTTTTTCCATTGATTGAAAAAAGAGTAGATGATACTCACCACATGTTTCAGAGCATTGAGCAAAAGCTTCCTTCCTGATACCTTCTCAAGATCACCAACTATCCACATGGTCACAGCACTCATCCCGTCCTCGCCTAAAGGAAAAGAGCAATAGGGTGGCAGCATTAACTAATTAATCACGATTAATTAAGGTCTGAAATTAAAGCATTAATTCATTTTATTCTCGATTAATTGCATGCTATTTTGTCCCTTCAGGCACACCGAGGGTATGCCTCTGCAGTGTCTAGACAGTTAAGTTGACGAGTCAAAAGTAATATCCATTTCACTTTTTTAATGTTCCTTTGAGCTGTTTTCATTTAGAGTTCCTTTTTCGGCTGGTAAAGTTAATGCCGTAACCTTTGCTCTACCTGAAGGTCCTTCTTTATTTCAAAATTTTAATATGGAATTGAATCTCAGATCAAAGCACACTGGAGGCCTCTGAATATGAGTTTGATGTTTGAACATTGAGTCAAATGTTTGTATCTTTTGGGGCGCCAGATGGCCTACTGGTTATGTCACATGCTCAATATACAGAGGCTATATGCAGCTGCCATGGGTTCGAATCTGACCTCGGCCCTTTGCTGCATGTCACCCCACACTCTCTCCTCCTAACATTTCCTGTCTCGCTTCAGCTGTGCTTTCTAATAAATGCAAAAAGGTTTGTATCTTTGTATCTTGTTTTTTGATTTTTGTCTTGTAATCAGAGACAAATTTCCGACTTTGAATGACAAAGTCTCATCAATGAATCTATCCATCAAAGCAGGGTTTAATTCAAACAGCAAGTAAAGTACTCTCAGCTTTAGACAGAACAAAAATTCAAAATAAAAGTATAACAACTTTTATTTTTAAAAGAGAAATAATTTGAGTTTGACAGCTATCTCCTGCAGTTCCCCGGCACTGGTACAATAAAGCAATATATAATAAAATAACCTCTGGAGGGCAAAATTATTTTGAGCATTTCTTTATGTCAATGTCAACCTTTGTGCTTAATGTGGCATTTAGCAAAAGCTGCTAATAAATCAAAAGGGTTACCACATGCTGATACATGGACAACTAAGATGAGAGAGAGAGGGGGGGGGTGGTGAGGTACAGTTTGTGTGGGAGAGGTGAGAGAGACATCTGGCAGAGAGCTCAGTATATTAGCGGAGAAATGCACCACCTGTCATAGTTATACTTCACCTAGTCGGTCAGTCAATCAGTCAGTCAGTCAGTCAGTCAATCAGTCAGTTGGAAAAGCAGGCAGTCAACCAGTCAGCTAGTCCACATAGGGAGGATGGCAATCAGCCTCCTCAGCCTCAAGGAGACAGCTACACTCCAGGCCTGTGCAGTAAAATGCAGCACTGACCATACAGACAGTTGGCCTGAAGCCAGTCAGCAGACCTAGCAATTATGTTTCTGAAGGTGCAGCCTGTCTGCTTTAACAATCGTCGATTTCACACTTTCACAGATCAGTAAAGCAGTATAGAATTCATTTGTGTTTGGATATCGTTCATCTTAAAAAATGTTCAACAAGTAAACTAAGAAAGGCTGTTCTGCTTAGGACAACAATACGCAGAAGCTATTTTAAGTGTTGCATATCACTTTGTTCCTGAAAAACAAAAGGCAAAAAATAACAAGTTACTTCTTACCGCTATTTGTGAAATACTTCATTCTCTTAGCCATCACAGCTGTTTTGTCTCTGGAGTCCAAGTATGAAAACATAGTTGTGTCTTCCCAGTCATCAACAGCTGCAAGGTAAGAAATACAAAGTGAGAAGGAGTAGGGACAAGGAATCAGTAGTTAAAAGGTTTGAGATGAGTAGCAGTGGTCACCTGGGGTGGAGGTAAAGTCAAGGTACTTTCGCTCTGTGCTTAGAATAAGAGGGTTCATCCTGGGGACCACGTTGGCCTGCTCCATTAGGTAGTCCACAACATCTGATCCCTCAGTCAACTGACCCTGTAGGAACAGGATAAAACAGAGAGGTGCTACATCACTGAGGACATTCATGCATAAGGAAACACTGGATCTTGTGCGTATTCTGAATGTATATGCAAACAAAAAAACCAGAAGGACCAGGGAGGAATGCAGACGGATAGATGAACTGCCATTGGTACTAGAAAGAGGCTCAAAAATCAGTCCTTTCCATTCAGACAAGTCGTACCATAAAGACAGCTCTCTGAAAAGAAGTGGTTGTGTCCATTATGCGCTGCAGGATGATAGTTTCCAGCTCGTCTGGTTCCATCTCATCAGGGCTCAGAGGAACTCCATTAAATAAAGCCAGAGGCAGAGCACCCAGGCCACTCTTTTTGTAGAACAGGGCGCCATCCTGGAGCACACACAAAAAAAACATGAGGCTTTACATGCTCTTAGTTTACAAATGTTGGAATATTTTTAATGAACAGAAAAAAACAATAGAGCCCTTACCTTTCTTTTGTCATCATACTCGGATTCTACTCCTAGAATCCTTTCAGCACTGGCTTTAGGGAATTTGTTTATCAGGTAAGAAGAGATTGTTTCAACAGACAGCGACTCCCCGATGTCTACTCTGTTGTACAACTGCGGGAGGCAGGCAAGTCAGATCAGATTTGACCATCACTGTCTTCAAATCCCTGCTACTGTCAATAAATTCTCACTCTATGTGAAACTGTTGCTAGCAGAGGCAAAATCCCACTGAGTCATCTTTTCCAATAATTTCTTAAACCATGGCATAACATGAGGCCCAATGAAACAACGGACTTCTGAGGCACAAAGAACTGGCAAGGAGTGTGCTTTAGTTATTTATCAAGAAGTGCTCAAAACAATAGATCATATATGTATGTGACATACTTACTGAGAACATAGAAATTAGGGCCTGGGATAAATCGTACTCGTCCCCAATGTAATTTAGAAGTCGGTAAAATCCAACCCCTGAATCTGAGAAGCCATCAATCTCATCTCTGATGTTGACAACAAACACAAATCCAATTCTATAGAAAGAGGGAGCAAAAACAAGTATTCAATTTGCTGGTGAAATGAAAATCACTACCAGGTAAAGATTATAAATGCCAAGAGTTGTCTGTATAAACAGCATAGGAGGTGTGAGAAATAACGGCACCGACCTCAGGGGGATCTTGTGCTTGTAGAAAAGCTCTGCTAGTTTCACCAACTCAACACTCTCTTCTCGTGCTGGATCCAGGAACAGAACCTAACATCAAAGTTATCATCATCAAATCTAGATCAAAATAAATCTGCAAATACTTATTTTTCTAATTTAGATCACAGATTATTTACTTTACAAACTTTAAAAATACAACCACTTCCATCCAGTTCTGATAATCAGAGACATGAGAGTGTGGCAGAAAAGGGTCAGGAGCATCAAAGTATTTCATAGTTTTCAGTTTAGAAGAAGAAGAAGGCAACAATTGAGCTACAATTTAACTCTTCTCAGTTAAAAGCTGCATTTCTAGCCTTCAGGAGACTCACCAGGTTGAAGAAATTGCGCCTGATCTGCCGGATGACTCCAGGAAAGGTGGCCCTGAGGAGCTCTTGTACACCGGTTGGCCAGCTGCGGTATGTTGGGTCATTCTCTATGTCATTAACCCACTGAAAAGTGCAGAACAAACAGAAGGCCGGTTTAAAAACGGTGTTCATGAGCTAATCAAAAGCAACTAAACAGTGAGGGCCTCCTTTAAGTACAAGTCAGAGTGTAGTCTGATGAGTGGAATTTTCAATATTTTTCTCAACATCTTTAGCTTTCTGGACATGACTGATTTTCCAACAGCAGCTCCACCCTGTCTTTAACTCAAAGGATTCAGTGTTGTGATAAGCCAATCCGGTTATTTGCAAAGAGCAGAAACACATTGCGGAGGGTTACATTAGGAGGATATTGGAAGTAAAACTCCTTCAGTATTAACATCTTCAGACTTTAGATATTTGATCTGGAGTAAAAGGTGTACAGAATCAACACATCAAGCGGTGATGAAGGGCCCTCGCACCCCTGTGCATGTCGGGGTGTGTCGCGACCGTGGTTAGCGCAGCAGCAGAGGGATGTGGCTAAGCAGTGTGTTGAGTAGATCGATTTGAGTAAAAGTCGTAGTACTGGCAAGTTCAAACAGGCAACACTCACAGGATCACAGAATATTTAAAAGCAGAGCAGCTCAGGCCGGTACTATCATGATGTACAGCTACAAAGTGTGCTGCTGCAGTGGCGTCTTTAGGCGTTTTCACATATGCACTCCTGAAAATATGTAGATAATTTCAGGAGGAGTGCTCCAGATGTTCTCCTGACCTGGCTGTTCACACATGCATTGCACGGCTGGAAACTACCCCTGTCAGACAGGATTGGGGGCAGGGGGTCTCCTGAGGTAAGAACTTTGATGTGAACTGCAGCAGAGTTTTTATATTTTAATTTAAACTTCTGTGAACTTTGACAGCTCTAATAAAATCAAAATTCTTTACATTCAGGTTTTGAAAAGCGGTCAGACCATAAGATCAACAAGCACAATTTAGAAAGTAGCATTCACTTAGCGTTCCGTCAAAACCCATCCCCTTTCCCTCTGTGCTCCCTCAAAAGCCACACCCCTCACTTGCATGCACAAACAATGCATTGTGTAGAAACGCAAGTCATGTCTTATTCAGCGATAAGTAAACTCTCAGTATAAACTCCATCATCTATGACACGCTTTGAATGTGGGATCAGGTAATTACATGCATGTAAATTGAGCTGTTTACAAGCATACAACAGTTCTGTAAATAGAAATATGTTGTATCAGATTTATCTTCCTGTGTGTGAATGTGTGAGTATGTATCTCCCTCAGTCACACACTGCACATACTACCGTATTTTCCGCACTATAAGGCGCACCGGATTATAAGGCGCACCTTCAATGAATGGCCTATTTTAGAACTGTTTTCATATATAGGGCGCACCGGATTATAAGGCACATAGAATAGAAGATACTGCAGTCAAACGTTTGACTGGGGTTGCGTTATGCATCCACTCCTCTTCTCCCAAACGTGGAGGGGAACTTTTCCCTGATTCAGTAAACACGTAGTAAAAGAAACAGTCTGATACCACTAAATCAAACGTTAGTGCATTCACAATATAGTAACTCTCGAAATTGTTCATTCATTAGTGCATTCACAATAACTCAACGTTGTTCAAACGTTAATGTGCATATTCACAATATCTCCCAGCCTTGTTCAGTTGTAAACACGTAAAAGAAACACAGTCTGATACCGCTAATTCAAACGTTAGTGCGTAACTCAACATTGTTCAGTTACGTATAACACGTAAAGCTCACTTTTTCAGTTCATTCCCCGTCCACGAATCCCTCGAATTCTTCTTCTTCAGTGTCCGAATTGAACAGTTGGGCGAGTACGGCATCCAACATGCCCGGCTCCCTCTCGTCATTATCCGAGTCAGTGTCGCTGAGCGCCGTGTACAACCAGTATGGATCAACCAATTAACCAATTGATCCATATATAAGGCGCTCCGGATTATAAGGCGCACTGTCGTTTTTTGAGAAAATTAAAGGCTTTTAAGTGCGCCTTATAGTGCAGAAAATATGGTATATGTCTTAGAAGGGGAGATACAAGCTGAAAAAACAGACGTCATGGTTGATGGAGGAAAGGCATTCTTTGGCATTTTTATAAAAACAAGATTTTTTTAAACGACCAGAGGGGCAAAAATTAAAATTGAGAGGTTTAATTTGATTGCTTTTTCTTGGCATATCTCCCTACTAATACCGGAAGCTCCTGGCAGGCTTGAGACTGGAGCTGGATAACTGTTTCACCAATTCACAGCCTGGTGAGGGTACACAAAGACCCTGAACACCTGCAGAGTTGGAAAATAGTGCTTTTTGACCTTGCTCACCATTATAGCTGGATGTCTGATATCTAAGGCATAGCTCTCATCCACAGCATTTACAGGTAGCCTCAGCAGCTTTCCCTGATGCTCTCCTTTGATGCCTAGGTTATGAAACCCCTCCAGCACCCTTGCTTCTCCTCTGAGGATGTCCAATATACTGTAAAAACAAAATCCATTTCACAGGTTATTAATTTATACATACAAGTTGTGTGTAAGTGGTCCTGCTGTGCAACAAACTGTGGTACATTTTCAACAGATTTTCTGAACATATAAGCAGTTCTGTGCCGTCCTGGGGAGCACAGAGAGGCAGACCAATGCACCCTCCTGCTGGGTTCCTACCTGAAAGGGTTGTGAGCGTCCAGATCAATGTGCAGCCCGTTGATGAAGAGCTCCCCGTCTCCAGAGTGAACACCAGCGGTCTCACTGAGACGCTGAAAGAACAAGCCTGAAGTGTTAGTTTATAATCAAAACCTATCACTGATTGATTCACTTTTAAGATCTGAAATTCAAAAAAGGAAAAGACGTGCATAGGGAGCACAGTAGTAAGTAGAAGTGAGAAAGTGTGAGAAGTAAGAATTATACCTCATATTTGATCTTGTGATTTATTTTGAACACAGATTAGAAACTCAGCCTCTCTAAAATATAACTTGCGCATGGTTTGAGGATTTTATCAGAGAAAACTTCCTGCACTATCATGTGAAAAAGCGGCTTATGATATCACACCTTTTGGTTCTCCTCAATTTCTTTTCTCATTTCCTGCTTTACGGCCACTCTTGTCAGTGATCTGTGGGAACAGTAAAACATGTACAGTCACCATCAGCTTTTACCACATCCCCAGCCAGCAGTAAAATGCCAGTTTTAATCTCTGAAAAACCTGTGGGCTCTCAAGATGGTGCTTTTTCAGTCAATTCCCTGTCAACATCAGACTCTTACTCAGCACTTTTTGATGTTATTACAAACTGCCTGAGCCGAGCACACATCAAAAAGGCGATTAGATCTCTGTTTTTGAGGATGTACTTATTGTGGATAATGCTCAAACAAATGGGTTTACAAAAGGCATATTTCATGTGAACTGAGATAACAGCATTTTTTGTGGAATCACATATTGTAACACAGAGTAGGGCTCCTAACAATATGGATTTTGGAAAGGGACCAAATGTGTGAGCCAGTCAGTCAGAAAGAGAAAATGAGATACATTTTATTACCTGGCTTTGCTTGGGAAGTTCTGACTGAGATCCCGCATGAGCTTCAAGGCATCAAATTTTGGCACGGACATGATTCTGGCAGCTGCCTGGAAACTAAGATCTATCAAGATGAAGCACAAAGAAAAAAACAACATTTATACATCTAAGAATTCCTGTTAAGTGGGTACGATTGATATCCATGCAATGTTTTAAAAATGGTAAATGGACTTCAGCTTGTATAGCACTTTTCTATTGTTCTGACTACTCAAAGTGCATTAACATCGCAGGTCACACCTACCCATTCACACCCATACACTGATGGCAGAGACTGCTGTTTCAGTGTCCATCAAATTAACTCATCCATTCATACACATTCACACGGTGCTGATGAAGCAGCAGGAGTGACTCGGGTTTAAGTGTCTTTCCCAATGACACATCTGACATGTAGCTGCAGAAGCTGGGGATCGTACAGTTTAGAGACGACTGACTGTACCACTTAGGCACAGCTGCCTCAAACTGGAAGAACCAAGTAATCAATGTGCTATAGCACATCGACTGAAATCAAATTGTACTTCAAACTATAATTATTATTAGACCTTCATATACAAATGTTAATATTTAAAGTCATCAAATAGCTTGAACAAAACAATTTCTTATTTCTCTACTCATACAGTCTTTACGTGGTTTGTTTATACTCATTTTAACTACTGAATAGATACCTTGCATTTCCCACACTTTGAGAGGGATCATGTCATTGGTGCTCTCCAGGAGATGTTTGCGAAGCTCTAGGAGTTGTTCCTGGAGTTCAGGGTGAGATTTCCTGAGATGAGGTAAAAGAAGAGAGAAGAAAAAAGCTCATGCATCACTTTGAGTCTCTTTTATTTCCTTTATCAAGTCCCGCTGAGCACAGGATGCCCAGCAGCAATTTTAGATTTAAAAAAACAACCTTTATTGTAATTAACATGCTACAGCTAACCTACTTACTTCAGCGTTCCGAAAACAAATCCTTGGACTTCATCGTTGTTATCCTCCTCAGCATTCGTGACGGTCTTTGAATCTACAAAGTGAAAAGATGTGTTTTGATTTATTGACACGAGGAACCAGCTGGTAATGTTTGATAGGGAACCAACTGACCTTTTACTTTGGTGTCATCCACGGCTTTGTATTCTGTGCTTTTGATAGCCAACTCCACACCATACCCAGATAAAAGCATCTTTTGAGGCTTTGGATTCTACAAACAGATCGAGGCAGAGTAATTGCTTCAATTTAAAACAGTGTGGAGGTGTTCAGTTTACGTATGTGACTGCAGGGGAACTTTTCGGCCTTTTCCTAGAAACACTGCACAGCCAGAATGTAAAGGTCCACCTGCCTTAGCCACAGCCGTAATTAGCAGGCATATAAATTAAGCATACAGTCAGTGGCATCAATGGAAATATAATGGGAGCTCAGAGTTTCAGTAGCAAACACGTACAACTGTCATAGGATGGGTTCATAGGTTCATCAGGTATCTGTTCTGCTAGATGTCCCCCCCCCCCCCCCCCCGTTGTTAAACAACACTGGCTAGGAGCAGAAATAAACTCAGCTGCAAAAACAGGAGGCTGAATGCGTGAACTCCTTTCTACCGTGTTCCACACTGCCTCTGGACATTTTTGGGGAGCTTGAAGGCATGGGTTTCAGTGGGCTGAGTGAGCAGCAACCTGACATGTGCAACAAACCGCCGGTCTGGACGATTGGTGAATAAAAATATAGAGTAACAAACCATGACCTCTTGGTTGAATCAGAATGCTGTGTGCAAGTCAGACATTTTCCACTAAAATCACTGCCCAAAAATCTTATGCGGGGCTATGATATCAAGGTGTCCACATTGTTTTGGCCATGTGTTGCATGTCTTGATGTCTTGATTTTTCATTAACATACAGTAACTGCAAGTTATTATCTGTAACACACTTGGCCTTTGGGAAAACAAAGCACATAGACCAGCAGGCACACACAGCAGCAGACTCACTGACATTCAACCTTGACACTAATGTCACTCAGATTCAAAGCACCGCCTCAGTCTTCCACAGGCACAACCAGAAGTCTTTTACACCCACACTCAGCTATTCTCCAGCTGACAAAAGGAACCATGTCTTAAGGAATAAAAGAACCTTTTAGTCCATAAAAGCACCGCCGTATGGGTCAGTTTGAGTTTCGGATATCTGCTGATTCTTTTTGAACATTTTTAAGCCATGCAATCTGGACTTGATGATCCCTGCTTTTGTACGAGTTTCACTTTAGGGAATAAAGTAGCACTGTTATATCACTACAATTGCACCATCGTATAGGTAAAGATGAAACAAGGGATGTCTACGGCACAGAGGAATAACCAAAGGCTTTGCTACAGGAGCAATAGTTGTCAGTAGGAAAAATGAACTTTAGGTTAAAAACATATAGATTCTCACGAGCTGCAGAACTGAGCTGCTCTGTGTAAACAGCAACACATATAAGCACCGGATATATTACTAGAAGATATATTCTTAGAGAGGTACAGCATACCACAGTATTTATTAAAGTTTTTAATAAGTGGAACATCACTTCAAAAAAGAGATGTGATATCATGTCTACTCACCGCCACAAAATGCCGCAGCACATATAAAAGAGAGCCCTCTTCAGCTTTCTCTGACAGCACCTTATGAAAGGAGGTGAACTTCTTTGTTCCAATCTCAGCATAGAGGATCACGACTGGCACATCTGTTTTATTGGCCCCTGGATATGTATGATCATGCTTGTACAAATGTGGTTTGGGCCTGCAAGCATATGGAAATTTTAAAGACAATGCAGAAAAAAATGAAAGCGTCAAAAAACACTCATTCACAGGCAAAAAGTTATCAATAAAGGCTTTTTAAGAAAAACATCTTGATCCAGAGAAACTGTTTAAACTTGTTATTTCTTTCCAGATGGAGTTCATCCACAGAGGGGTTAATGATGCAATTCTGTGTTACCTGCCTGCTGCTGCCTTCAGGAGCTTTTTGACGTCCTTGGTGCTGCAGCTTTGTTGACCGTGGATGGAGACAAAGGCAGGGCAAGCCTCAGGTGGAGGCTCATCCCTGGCTATCTGTTTGAAGCAGAACAGGGAGAATGAACGACAACATGCCGGCTTCAACATACTACACAACATGAAACAACGTGATATACTTCTATTGGCTAGATGGGGAGTTTATCTTGCACTCAAATGCTGCACACATTTAGCTGTTTCTTCACTATAGTCACAGTAATGATGCTACTATTGACAGGTTCTCAGGACTTGTCCCCATCGAGGTTACTCACATTGGGAATCAAGTGTTTCAGGCTAAAAGAAAAAATACAAATGGTAAGTCTATTGTTACAGAGTCAGGATTTAACCCTAAAACTTGAACATAGGTCAAAGATAATCAGAGTAAAATCAGTTAAGTGATTAATATATTCTCTATATTTCAAAGTAATCACCAAAACAGTTTACACTGTGCAGCCAAACACTCCATTTCCCATATTCAAGGCCATTACTCACTCAAATGTTAAACACAATGAACATTTGGGAAATTCCTCAACTAGTGCATCACTGTCACATCATGACAGCAGTAGAACCAAGGAGCCAAATGAGTATAGTCTACCTAATACTGCTGTCATATCGTATAAACAACAGGTAGGACAGAAATGTCTTACCTAACCTTTCATGTATTCAAGCTACTTAAAGTAGACAATTAGTATATGGTGCTAAATACAAAAACTTGAATTGTTATTTCATCTTCTCAACCTGTCACATTCTATTGAAAATAAAACTGCTTTAGATGAAGACATTAGCACATACACACATAACTACAAATGACTACAGTCGTAGAATAATGATCTAACATCAATCACTGATGAGGAAACCAGTCAACCACGGGAGAAGGATCGTACATGTACAACAAAGTTATATATTTAATGTAACTGCTTCATCAGGCTGATCAAAGGTTATATTTTCACTGTCAGTGCAATAACTTTGTCAGAGCCACCACGCTGGACACGTTTACAATAACATGTTCAAATTTTCAGTTTAAAATATAAGAATGATAATGTTAGCAAATGTTTACTTTGCACAAAGTTAAACAAATACCTGCATTTATTTGCAGGTATTTTGTAATAAACTTTATTATTAGACAATGAAATGTAGCCTTGTTGATGGCTAGATGGAAAGTCAAAGAAACACAAAAGTGACAAGCAGCAATGAGGTATTTAAATGGGTTTGTGAAAACTTTAACCTGCTGGTAGCGCTAAAGGAATTCAGAGGATCAACTAACTTAGGGAGTCATGTGTCACTAATACCTGTATGAAATGGATGCCAATCTATTGTTTTAGTATCATACTCAAAGCTTGAAATGTCAGCTTTGTGATGGTGATCTGAGAAAAATTAGAGAATCATCAAAGTTAGTAAGTTTCGGCCTCTGAGGACACTAAACATCTGAAGCAAATACACATCAACTGATTAAAAAAGTTGATCAGATATTTCAATTGAGATAAAAGTCTCCCATCAACCCTATCATAGCTGCAGCTGCAAGCTCTGTCGTTAGTCATGGTGGCTTACTTTCTTGCAAACAGTCCTCCCAACTTCAAGACTGTATGTTCACAGCCAGTCCATGTAATATATCTTAAAGCCTTGTCTGGGTGCAGTACTGTTATCCAGAAATCACATTTTAAATTGATTTAATACCTTTGTACACAGTATCAATTTGCTTGCACTTAAGTAAGATGGATATTAAACTAGAGATCATTGAGCTTTGACGATCTTCTATAGGGCTTCTGGTAGCTGGGCATACTTTACAGCACTAGTAGCCAAATGTGCTTGTTAATAATACTGTCATTTTGATTTTACAGGACATTCTTGCACTAAAGCTAACCAGGCTGAAAAAAAATCAGAAACTAACTCACTGGAGTTTAGACAGACTGTGGAATGCTTTTCATATATGTGGCATTGACAGCATAATGATAAATACATCTGACAGTTAAAGCAGTTTTACAAGTTATGATCACTCATTCAAACTTGTTTTTGACACTGGATCAATTTAAGGTAATAAAACTTACATACTTAAATTCTGTGAGAAACCACAGAGATAGACGAGCACTGTTCTGAGAAAATGAGTTATCGATCTGGAGAAATTCACACAGTGGTTTGAAAACAATGACAGTCATTTTAAGATTGAGTCAAAACAATTGAGAAAAAAAACTTAAAGTGAGGCTTACAAGACCACCCTGGATCAATATGAGGGTCAACAAACAATATGACTGCTTTTAACAACAAGTGAACATGGCACTCTTGTAATATTCCCATGCTGCTTATGAGGCAGGTCGTATATTAGTGTCATACTATTTTGATCACAACATACCTGCTGGGATGCATGAACAGCTGGTGAGTATGATCGTAGGGCCAAAGCAAATTTGAGGAGGTTAATCTGAAGATCTGTGAGGAACTGGCCTGCCTTCTTAATGATCAGGTTGTAGTAGGAGCGCACAGACTCTGTAGGACACATCAGGATTAGTAATAATGTGGCGTCTTTTAAAATAGAAGCATACCTGTCATGGCACAAATCATTCAATGTCTATGGGCAATAACATAGACAATATACAGCAATAACATCTCTGAAGTCACAGATGATTCAACATACCTCCTTGCTTGTATACAGTGAGCTCTTTCACAGTGTCAACAAAATGCCAGAATTTCTCATTCCCATCTTCTCCAATAAACTCGCTGCATTATACAAAATGAATTAAAAAAAGGTACAATTAGTAACAAACAACAAATTCTGACAGTCAAACAGTTACAGCTGGACACCACAGATTTATTTTATGTCTTTGGGGAAAATAATTGAAGCCAAACTGTCTACACTCTGACACAACTATGACACTACGTTTTATAAAAATTAAATACCATGCAATTGGTTTTAAGAACATAGAGAATGTATGCAAACACACAAGAACAAAAAAAAAACATCCTGTGGACAAAAATGTATGCAGACAAGCGAAAAGTATTTATTACATTTAAATGTATTTACTAAGCACATTTGTCTGTTATTGGTTTATAAAGTTTGTCTATTTAGAGAGAATTTGCTAAGTTAATTTCCAGTGGAGAATGTGGTGCTTAGATTCCTAGTTTATCAAAAACCTTTTATTGCAAATCAGTGACAGTCTGATATGGATGTCCAAAGACCAGTAGGCTGAATTACCTCGTCTCCAAGAGGAAAGGCGTCATTGTCCACTTTGCTTTGAGACTGGCAGTGACGCCTTTGGGGGCTGATATGGCATGTTGTATGTTCAGGAACAGTAGTAACAGCACAATAAGGTTCTTCATTATCTCCGGCTAGGTGTAACATGAACCTACGGTGACAGAAAACATAATCCGACGTCGTCAGTCAGTGGCAGCTCCTTTGGTTCATATAAGGGCTTCCTTTCAGTGCCACGTAGTTGCTCTAAAACAATTATCTAAACCGCAACACCGGTACACATGTATCCTACGAGTTAGAACACACCTCAGAAACAGAGTACAACACTGTTAAATTAAATGACATGACATAAACACTTGTATCACCTTGTTAGCTAGTCCTACTTAGAGAATAACGGTCACTCAGAGGGGTCATAAAACTAAAGTTCACTTAGTTGTAGCAAAGAAGTGACTGTAGGTACGAAAACGATGCACTATCAATATGTATCTAACCCGCACAGTCTACAAAGACCAGTTTCTACAAACATGTAATGTTGTATGTTAACACTAAGAACCCTGTTTGTTATTATGTTGTCAAAAGTAAGTCCCTCACCCCGTCACTGTTCCTGACCGCTTCCATACAAAGCAAAGGGCTTCAGGCTGGTATTTTAGGAAGCTAGCAGCACAGCTAGCAAGTTGCCGTGGTTGCCGCATACTGTGGTGTCTGGCGCTGCCTGTCACTAGTGTCTGGCATAATCTTATTTTTTGAAGCACAACAGTACAGATTTTTCAAAGCACTAAAATTAGAGATGGGCGTTTCACAGTCTTATAAAACTTTAATGTTAAGTGGTAATTTATTCCGGCAGAGCGGTAGACAGCTAAAGGGACAGACGCTGAAGCTTAAACACTTTCCCACCAAATGCTTGAGCATGTTGTTGCTATGAGTATGTGTCAGTATGACAATGTGTGAAACAGTTGAGTTAAACGTTTGTTTTTACACAGATTGTATGTGAAGATACAGTACATAATACGTTAGTGTTTTCATGTAGGTTAACAAATAACCATAGCAATAAATAAAGTATATAATCCAGCAATTCACTATCAGATGCCCAGTAGGCTACTCTTTTTTATTTTACTTATGTAAAGATGTAGGGAAAAAAGGATTGTCTTGACCAAAGTTTCTGTATTGATCAGAAAGTTAAGCAGCATCATGACATCTTCCACTAGACCTTCCACTTCCTTACTCTCTTCTGGCATTTTAACAAAGCACACTTAAAGTTTTAATTAGGACACGTCAACACTGTGGTGAGATCACATGGGGATTTTGCAGACATTAAAAAGCTGTCTGAGAGTAAATTAGCTAAAGAATTTTATTTGCAGACGCTTCCCTTTCCCCCTGATTCTGTATGGTGAGTAAAGTTGACCAAGTACCCAATATGGATATCACACAAATCTGTATCATAAAGAAGTTTCAGACAAGTGGTCTTTTGCTGCTCTTTATTAACATTGAACAACAGTAGAACTCACTAAAAACTACCATAAGAAATCACCATTTTGTTTTGATTTTGATAACCCCCAAAAGTTGTCTTATCTCTTTCCTGATACTGTCCTATAATGCTTTTTGATGAAAAATATTTTTTTGCATTCTGGATCTTTGCAGTAGGTATAAATTGTAAAGAAAGGCTGTGACAAACCTAGCCTGACACCTGTCCAGTAGCAGTAGTAATAAGCATTAAAATGTCCATCTACAAATATTAAATTGATATGCTGATGGTCTTCTTTGCTTGTGTAGCTCATGGAGAGGCATCAGTATTCATTTCAGTCGGTTTCATAACCCGCCAAAAACTCCTCACAGGAGCTTTAAAAAACATTAGCCTATTAGGAATTTCCCTGATTAAATGAGCTGCTAGAGATGAACATGTAAGATAGATAGATAACCTATTTAATTTATTCATTCATTTTATTAATGTAAACAAAAATGCATAAGAAGAACTGACATTTTCTTATTTTACTAGTATAATATTTTATGTTAATTAGTGCTAATTTTACCCACACTCACACAACTCAATAACAAACACTGGCTGCAAAAAGTAGCCTATAGAATAGCAGATAAGTGTATGACAACAAACTGTAAAAAAAACAATACTAGTTGGAGAACAAGTAAAAGTGAAGCTGCAACATGACGCTTTACAGTGTGTGATGGTAAATGGTAAATGGACTTGAGCTTATATAGCGCTTTTCAGCCTTTCTGATGGCAGATTCATCGACAGTCATACCTTCAGGAAGTCCTAACAAAATTTGCCATGCTTTGCTAGCAGTGGAAATAGCCTACTGTGTGCATTGTTTTTATTAAGCTACCCACTTTGGGAAACACTTTTCAATGGTTCACTTGTAACTTTAATCATTAGGCTATATTGCTGCAGAGAAAGCAGCTATTTCACTTAATTGGCTCCCTATATAATGGACTGTGAGTTAGGCATATTAAAGTGGTCTAGGCTATTTGAAGGCAATATCCACTTGTGGTCTATAAGCGGAGGGATAGTACTGTAGGCTATCTTAAATCGTGAAAGGTCACACTCTGATAAATGCGCTTTTAAAAAAAAAGTTACAGCGGATTTGGTATTCATCCGTGCTTAAATCTCCATGTTGTCTACGGTTCAGAGTCCGGGTGGGCTTCTGGCTTTGCACTGCGTTAAACAAGATTATGGGGCAGACGGGATGGGATGTAGGAGCGCTCATAGATCAACCACCACGACGAGAGCATAACGCACATCCTCGCACTCGGATGCAGCAGCAGCAGCAGCATCAGCAGCAGCATCCTCTCCTCTGTGGAAAGCTCTGCTTCAGCACACTCACACAGACCGCCAGCGAGGATGCCGCCGGGAGGATGCAGCGGAACAGTCCGAGCTGCGAGACATTTCTGCTGAGATAAGTCTGCCACCGAAATGACAGCACATTGCAATTTAGACCAGAATCAGCACTAAAGAAGAGGGGGACAAAAACTTATCAGTTGCCTAATTTCAACTTGATAGAGGAGCATGTGAGCTGCACGGATCTGTAGAAGTTGGATTGTCTCAAATGTTAATGCCATGACTCTTGACTTCGGAAAAGATTACAAGCGCATTGCTGCCCAGCAAGCAACAAAAAAAGGACTTTTCTTTAGTCAAGATTGTGTGTCTTATTTGATCAACATGTGGCATTTAAAGATTAGGAATCCATCCGAGGCTATGGAGGAGTATTGAGCCCATAAGAACCCATGGGTGCTGTTTATTATTTACAGTAATGGAATGAAGACACTATCCAGATATGATGGATGATAGACCCAGTAAGCTCATCTTGGTTCCTATTTTAGCCGTGCTTTTTGTTATGATAGGTTACCAGTACATATGCCCCGCTGGCAGCCACTCGTGCCACTTTAAGGCTGGGGAAAAATTGAGGGGGGTGAGCCTACTTTCCACCCCGTACATGGACAGCGATGATTTCTACAGAGATCAAGACCTGGAGGATGACAGCCCGCCTAAGGTGCCGTCAAAATTCAACTTCAGCGAGAGAGACCTTGGCAGACACGTGGAGTTCAACATCAGAGGGGACGACGTGATAGTGTTTCTGCACATCCAGAAGACCGGAGGAACCACTTTCGGGAGACATTTGGTGAGGAATATTCGCTTGGAGCAGCCGTGCGACTGCAAGCCAGGACAGAAGAAATGCACATGCCACCGGCCAGGGAAAGAAGAGTCCTGGCTCTTCTCCCGGTTCTCTACCGGCTGGAGCTGCGGACTGCATGCAGACTGGACCGAGCTTACGAACTGTGTACCTGTCCTTATGGATAAGAAGGAGGCCCAGACGAATAAAAGGTAAAATGTGTGTGTGGGTGTGTTACATGTGCAAGTGAAAGGAAATCAAGGACACGCTTTTGAAACCACCAGACCCACAGAGCAAGTGTATCCAAGAAAATAGACATGCAATACAGATGCTCAGTGGCCCCCAAACCACTGGAGCCCCATAATAATTTAAAACTCAAGTTTAATTTTGTCGTGGTTCAATTCTGCCTACTGACTGAAATAGTAAAGTGAGCAGTGATAGATGGGATAGATGGAGCTCAGAAAGGAGTGAAGAAGTCTAAAACAATAGAGCTTTGTTGTCAACAGTACAAAGTCACAATTCAGACATGTCCCACTTTTTAAAAGGGATGCAGGCCTACATAAAAAGAAAGTGGTGGCTGCATTTAAAAAACGACTTGAACATTACTTTTCTTGACCTTCAGACATATGTCACTGTTTTCCCTTTGTGTTCACATCAGCCCCTCACAATAACCTTGTTCTTATCCAGCTGTGCAGGTGGAATGAATCTCCATATCTGGTAACCAGCTTTATTACTGCAGCTGTTTGACTCTCTTTCCCTCGATCAGAATGTTTTTGTAGCCTGAAGTCCAAATGTTTTGGCACCCTGTTCTGATTTCATTGGCCAAATGATGAAAGATTCAAGATTAAAAACTAACTTCAACAATTCATGAGGATAGCTAACAATGTTGAATGGTCAATGACAGATTTTATTTTATGAATTAAATTCCTGTCTATTAAGTTGTACAAAGTTGGTCTATTGCACTAAAACCTGTTCCCTACATGCGTGACCTTTGTGTCCTGTGTGATGTGTCTAAAGAACCCAAAGGTGTTCATGAAAACCAACAAGAACGTATACAGATCCAGTACACTTCTGTTGTTGTGTTGTAAGTGTTTCAACATTTATTGCCTTCCTGTTTCAGGGAAGACTTCATTTTATACCAAGATGTTTTATTTTGTAGTTGCAACTTGTTTGAAGAGCATTATCACTCTAAGCATTGTCTGTTGTAACTGCAGTAGAGAACATAATCTAAATAGCTTTGTAATGAATGTGAGAGAGATGCAGTGCAATAACTAAAGGGGGCAGATTTTAATGAAGTAGTCACTGCACAAACAATTTGTGTGTTTTCACTCAGCAGAGAGGAGTTTTTGTATTTCTTTTTGCAGTAAGTGTTTCTGTTGCTGCTCATTCTTAAATTTGAACAGCTTTAGTCTATTCATTAAAATAACACATGTCTATTAGTGAGCTACTTATCCTCACAGATAACTGCATTTCCACATGAAAAAGCACAGACCAAAGCCTGATTTTTTCTAAAATGCAGAGTATATCCCTCTGCGTTTTTGGAAAAATACAATCTTACACTGAGGTACACGAGCACATGATTTATTTCTGCTGTGCCAAGTGTTTCCTTTACTCAGGGAAGTGCTCAGTTGATGCGACAGCTCTTCATTTCACAGCTGCAGCATCTATTCTGCACTTACAGTCCTCGCTGCTCTTGTTCTTTAGTGGGCTCCCGCAGCAGCTATTCTGAGATAATTCTGCCTCGACCAGGACTGTTGGCAGACACACCATGTTAGACCCGCTCACTAACCAGCCACTGCACATGACACATTTGCTAAATGCAATGACTAATGGTATTATGCAGATTTTGGTCTTCATTTGATATTCTGTGTGAGAAATGCCTTAATTAAAATGTCTTAAGATGGTACAAGGGCTAGGTAAATGAAGGGAATTTGCAGAGCAAAATAGATTATTTTTAGCCTAATAAGATGCACTTATTACAAAAACTTCAACCACTTAAGGGTGCTGTGGGGAATACCAATCATACATCACAGCCAAATTCAGATGGCATTCTCTTGTCTTGCGGTTGACAGCCTCTCAGATTGAGTGCCTGTCTTTCCACAGTCTCAGACATTCACCTTGCCAGCTCTGGAGATGGCAGGGAACGGGGCAAGGTAGGCGGCGATGGCACTGCCTGCACGGGACTGTATGGCCTTTTCAGCCGGACAGGAGCGCTGTGCGTCGAGCCAGCCGTGCAGCCCAGGAAAGGTCAGGCGTGTCAGGCTGGATCAGAGTGCGTGTCCTGCGGCGTTTCTCCCCCTGGAGTGTGCTGTCAGTCATGGGAGAAGTGGAGCAGGCAGGCCCTGTGCGTCCTCTTGGGGCTTTTTTGGAGAAACATACCTCTAAGTGCAGTCCTTTTAAGTTGCTTTGCGGAGTGCGTCATGGCATTACCTTGTCTGCTGACTGAATACGGCTTGTTGAGCAGGTTGTTTTCCTCTCATGCTTTTTCAGAGGCCTGCAACAAGGACACTGTCTCTGTTTGATACGTTTGCATAGGCACACTGTCTGGGAAATAAACTCAATGCAACACTGGCTCACAATTCAAGGAGCGGATTATTGAATATGCTTTTCATAAAGCATGGACTGAGTGGATCCTGTCATGTTTTTTTCTTTTAATGAGAACGAGAGTATTCTCACTGCAGTGTCTTTCTGTCACTTCCCATAAGGGTGCAGACAGAACACCTGTCTCTGAGATTAGAATAACAATAACAAAGCTTTATTTGTATGGCGACAGGTCCGAGGTGAGGAAATTTGATTATCATACATACAGCCTGAAGTTCTCATTGTACAGTGAAATATAAAATAATGCACCTCATACAAAGCAGAGTCAGACCCAGAGTAGCCCATGTATAAATGGAAGTATTATCATTTTAGTTCCATCATGACTGAATATTTGCTATTGAGCATACATCAGGCAACATTTCTCACACATCAGAGAAACTGAGAAAAAAGCCCCTTCAATGGAAGCACAAGTTCACCCAACCAGCGCGCAAACACGTTCATGCATGCACATTACCATTCATGCAACAGAGCAGAGAGACTGTTTCTTCTCCCGGTGAGGTGACGCGGACTTTCACAAAGCATCCTCTCAGAGTGCCGAGTGTGTTCGTGTTTTAGAGTTAAAAGCAGGCGGGGCGGGGGACAAAGACAAACAAATTACCACTGATTCTATCTGAGTTTCTCTGCTATTCCACATTCTTCTTCTGAACTTTTAGTGTTTACAGCTCCACTGAAAGTGTCATAAAATCAAAGCCTTAACACACGGTTGACATGCAATGAAACACTTTGGTGGAAGATGGATGTTTTGTTGATAAACCAATGAATAGATTCATTTATCATGCCTCTCTCGAGGATAAAACAAGATTTGTCAGCTGAATAAGAAGTTTGTTCGGTCTACAAAAACTCTTCATGTAGTGCTTTGAGTCACATTTGAATTTTTGTTGGACTTTCATTTTTCTTCAGTTCCTTCAAAGAGGAATGCAGCAAAGCAATGTATGCACTTTGGTGCACCGTCTATTATGCAGATTTTTTTAGTTCAAATTCGGTTCAAAGCCAACCCATTACTCATGAATCACACTGAATCTACACAAACGAAGATCCTATTGAATTCTGTAAATAAATGTCAATCGTGGAGGTGGTTTCTTTCGCTCCCTCTCTGTTAGTTATGATTCATCTCAAACATCGAGAAAAAAGATTTGGGATTTGAAAAGTTAGGTTATTGGCCAAGAAAAATGACAAGGTTCTGGTGTGGATGGGGCCACTTCAACTCCTGAATTGTCAAACATAGATCAGAAAAGTTTTTTGGTAATTTTATTTTCAGTTTGATTTAATACAATTTGATATATCCATATAAGTGAAATCGCAGGGCACGATCCTTTACTTCTCTATGGGTTCCTCCCTGAGCCCCCTCCCAAAAACCAATCCCACTGCCAGACCTACGACCCACAGGGATCATCAATGTACGAGGTAATTGAGCAGAAAACAGGAGTTAAATTCTTGTTATAGACACATTTCTAAGTATGCCACTTCCATTTCCCCTCATGGTATCTGTGTGTACTTCTAGTTTCCTAATAAGTCATTGCAAACAAACATATCATCCTTGTTCGTGTGCCTTCAGCCCAGTTCGACGACACATCTTGTGATGAAGTGCTGTTGGAAATTCAAGTTGGGTTCGGAAGAATTGACTTCATTATTGCCGCCGAGTAAACACTTAATTTTCTCACATGCTTATTAGTGTCCCTAGGAGCCCCAGTCTTGTTTCTTGCCTCATTCATTTGCAACACATTAAGCAGGTACATTAATTCATTTTATTTGGTTAAAGGCCATTAAAATTCACATGGAGATGTAAACTATACTCAGACAAATGAACTGAATATAGTCGTGTTAGTGCTTTTTGGAAGAGATGGTACATCTCCACTGTCCCCCTTTTTCACTGTGGCCTCTCGATAATTTATGCACATGCTGATGTTGCAGTTTTTTTTATCAATTATAAAATCTTCATTAGCAGCTTTCTTGTTGCTTATGCATAATGAATGTTCAGTTCAGAAATACAGAGAGACCAAAGCTAATGCATGGGTAAAGTATAGAGTTGCTCTTGGATACACTCTTTGATGAAAAACAGAGAGAGTGAGATGTGTGCTTTAACGACAGAGGATGTCCTCTGCTGTGATTTTGAATAAAGACATTGAGATTACAGGGTCCTCTGGGTTTTTAAGTCATCAGGACTGAAAAGCTGTTTTTTTAATAAGAAAAGATAAACGATAAAAAATAGCAACAACTGTAATTCGTTCAAAAAGGGGAATCTTATTGAAGAATATTCTCTTTTCCTATAGCCTAATTGCTTTACATTTGATCACATACCTTTAAAAACCTTAATGCTGCACCATTTAAAAGTGAAAGTAGAAATCTGTGTGCATTATGACCTGATATGGTTCTGTTCCTGTTTGGGTAAGGTCACCAGTTTTATCATCATTAGTTACTATGTTGTTTGGCACTGTATCCAATGAAAGTCTAGTGATACTTAATGAGAATTATCTGCTTGGCTCGGTTTATTTTTTATTCATGAAGTTTTCTGTTTGTAACACCTCTTTATTCTGTAGCACGGCAAAGCTAATATACACATTCCCTTTATATCTACAACAATCATACAGGAGTAGAAACAGACCTACATACC